CTTCCTTCCTTCATGTCTTTCTTCCTCTCTCTCTCTCCCTTTACCTCTCTCTCTCCCTTTACCTCTCTCTCTCTCCCTTTACCTCTCTCTCTCCCTTTACCTCTCTCTCTCTTTACCTCTCTCTCTCTCCCTTTACCTCTCTCTCTCTCTTTACCTCTCTCTCGCTTTACCTCTCTCTCTCTCTTTCTTTTTTTCAAGCTGCCATTACAGCAAAAGTATGGTGCGTGATTTTCTCATCCCGGACTCAGACTCATGCTTCTGTGCATCTGTTTCCTCATCTCTGAAGTGGGGTGACATGTAACCCCCTGATTAGGGTATGAAGATTAAAGACGTGGGGTTCTTGGAACAGTGTCTGTCAGTAAGAGCTCAGATACTAGCTATCATCATTAATGTTGGAAAATCAGAAAGGTTATATAAATCACATTGACTTTTTATATCAATTCATAGCCATCAAGAAATAATGGGATAATGGGATTAGATCATATATTTACGTCATTTTATTAAAATATAGTTTGTTTCCGTACCGCCTTTCTCCCACCCCTGACTTACACGGTGCCTGTGTGTCTTATAAGGGAACTCTTAGGCCGTGTCAGAATGGATGTTTATTAATATGATTAACTGGACTAGCTAATCGTAGTAAGACTGGTTAGTTCTTCAGTAATTAGGCAGAATTAAAATACCTCACTACTGGTTTTTGCTGTGTTGCAGTCTTCCTCTGAGATCCTAGGATCTGTGGGGGTTGCTCCTGGATATTTTAAGTAGTTGGGTTTTCTCTCCGCTTCCTCTTCTTCAATGTGCAGAGTTGGTGTCACCTCTGTGTCATCACGGCCACACCACAGAGAACCTGCTTCTTGAGAGTCTGGCAGCCTTCTCTGGAGGCCTGCTACCAACCCCTCACAGATGTCCTCATCTTCCTCTCCAATCGCAGGGAGGGTTTTGGACAAGAAGCCTCCAGTAGTGTATGCAGAGGCTACAAACTGATCGCCTAGGACTTCACGTGCCGTCTCCGGATCTGAAAATCCCCTTCTCTTTTTTGTCAAATCTGCAGAGGTTTTCTGAGTTGTCTTTAAGTGATCCCGAAGTGGCGTTGCCTCGTAAGGCTGGGCTGAAGCTGAGGTCACACCCAAGCGGGGATAAGATAGCAGAGGGTATGGTGATTGAGCAGGTACAGATGCTGGCAGCAATGAGAGGCAAGCAGAAGGGTCCTCCTTAATTTCAAGGGCGATCTCCTCTAGGATATTTGGTTTGGCTTCGTCAGCTGGTAAGGCTAAAGCACCAAGCTTCTCTAATTCATCCAAGAAGTCGTCCAGAAAAGCAGGCGCTGTTGAGGCCAAAGGGCTTGCTGGTGGACACCCGGCTCTCAGCGACAGCCACTCACGGGTGACTCCCGGGAGAGCGTCTTCACCTGCACCAGGTGAAGCTTTGTGCATGGGGGGAGGGTGTGGGTCACTGGAAACCGACTTAGAAATCAGCCAGGATGATGAGATAAGAATAAATACATAAACCAAGACAACAACAGTAATGCATCAAAACATAAATAGAGACACAGAGAAATGCAGATAAGGAGTGGTAATGAATATGAAAAATATTTTATGTTACATCTAGATTTGAAGATATTTTGCTGAATTCAAATACATAAAATCATTAGCACGTTAGCTAGAAAAGTTATTTGTGGAGTGAAACTCTACTAGTTTTTGGATGGGGTCCTCAATGTCAAATGACAAGCTGAATCACAGAGATTATGAAGACAAACAATGAAACCGTGATAGATCTAATTTAATAGTCTGCCTCTTCTAAACTCGGCTTCCACACATCGATCTAGTATAGTCTAAGTGACTCTGCGCTCATGTTAATATTCGAAAATCAACAGCCTTTTTAGTCCCTGGATTTGATTAGTGTTCTTTCTTCCTGCAGTGGTGCCAGTTCTTTTGAAAGTTCATAAATTTTAAATTTATGTTGTTTTAAACTTAAGTTTAAAAAACTTTACAGTAACACGTTTCTAAATGTAGAAGTTCTGAAAAAATTTTTTCAAGAACAGAAACCCATAATAAGGAAACTGAGCTTACATAACTACTACTTCAAAGCTAAAAAAAGTCAAAGTAAATGTTTACATAGCAAGGAAGCATGTGCTGTTAATGGGCATAAGCGTCTGCTAAGACTCCCATTCTCTCTCAGAGGCTTGTTATTTGATGTAAACCTGTGGAGATACAGTTTATGAAGCGTAATCTCCTGAAGTAAAAATACACTTCTGTACATCTTAATATTATCGATGTATTTTAGATTTATTAATCAAAACAGTAAATTTGCATTTTTATGTAGAAGTCGTTCTAGAACCGCTGCCTAGGAACTTTGTAATACATCTCTCTCGATGCTGGACTAGAAAGAATGTTACGTGTTTTATACATAAAAGCTTTAAGAGAGGTTGGTGAATGACTTTTTACTTTAGCTCTTTCCAGGTAGGTAACTATGGTTTGGAAAGAAAGAAATCTTCAAGAAACATTTTGGAGATGCCCTTTCTAGTTGATTGTTTGGGATGGTGTTTCACACACACAGTACACATCACGGCGTCACTGCTCAGTGCATTAGGGCATTCCTCACGCGACTTTTCACTTCTGTTTCTTATAACAGGAATGTGGCATTCATTGAATTAGCTCTTTTCTTCTTTTTAAAGGAAATATGTCATCACAGGGTAGGATAAAATGGCAGAGTGTCACAAAACTCATTTGAGCATCTGAATACAAGATTCAGGACTAAAGGCTACTTAGCACCTGATATACAGTGAGACTGTACGTGTGGTGTTTGACTGGGCAGATACCCACCCCGGTCAAATCCCGTAGATGCTGAATTTGTAACCCGATAGAGATGGCCTACATCTCATTTGGTAGTCTAGAGAATGTTTCTTATTGGCTAGAGCTCTATGTTTTACAACACAAGAGTTTTCATTTAATAATCAGATTTTAAAAGTCTGAAATATGCTATTATTCAAGATTACTGTTTTTCAACTTTCCATTTCTGTCATGGACAGGAACATTCTGTCAATAAAGAGGAAAGATATTTAAGCTCCACTGTCTTCATTACTGCCACTGTCACTATTACTCCCTGCTGCTACTATTCTGTTGCCACCAATTGTCACCAATACACGTGTGAACAGGTCGACGTGCTTAGCCTCACGATGAGCTTGCTTTTACTGACAGTCAAATTAAGTATTCTGTAATACCTATATCACAAAAATGTACCTATAACACAAAAAGCATGTAATTACTTTTTCTTCCAAAAGCATTAGAATTGGATTTGACTGTACTGTAAACGTAGAACAATCAGAGATATCAACTTACATCTGAGTTTCCACTAACAGAGACAGTACATCAAGAAGCATGATTTTAGTAAGGCAAAGAGTGATTCACAAATCATTCAAGGAGGTCCTTCCTCTGTTAGCAAGTATCAGTTAGAAAATAGGATATATAGTAGCTGGTATGTTTATAAAATTTAAAATCTAGTGTTATAAGAAAAAAAATCTAGGAATATGAGTATACATTTAAATCATTCACAACAAATATTTAAAAATTATGATATAAAATATTCTATTGCCCTTGTTAACTAGGACATTATAGAAGAATTTCTTAAATGCTAAAAAACCTATGTAGATACCTGCTTATTCTTTCTTACAAAATTTTATTGGAAGGTACCAGTCCCTTTGAAATGTATGTGGTAGTTCTTTAAAGATAATGAATGGTAGAAAAGACAAAATATATTTACTACTAGTGGGTGAAGATTCTTATTTTTCTCTTTATCAGTAGAAACTGCCGAAGGAATGATGTTGATCTCTATGCTAAGCTTTGGTAGTGAAGTATATATACTAAAGAAGATTCTGGAAAACTTTACAATCAAGCATACTTGGACAGTACCAAAACTGTCCCACGAGTCAATGCTGTATGATTGAGACCAATTATTCTGAAAGTGAAATTCTCATCAAAAAGGATTAGAATAAATAAAATGCCTAGCCTTGGCCCTTTTAAAGGAAAATTCTTCTCTTAAGATAGCGGATTCTTAGATCATTTACTGATGCAAAAACCTTCTTTTAATACTAATTTTCAAAGAGCAGATTAGGTCTCTTGGGACACTATCTTGAGATGATCTTGCATGGGGCCATGAAATGAATTCATATTTTAATAACGCCTGAAACCTTGATTTCATTTGACTCTAGATGGTTAGTTCTTCCATGTCCCAGCCTTGATCTCAATTAAAATAATAAATTATGCAACTTAATAATTTTTTTAAAATGTTGAGAACTACTTGCAATACTTTGGAAGTAATGTTTTTGCAAGTTAAATGTTTAATTGTTTAATGTTTAATGTTTTTCTCAATGAAAAAGAGAAAGAAAACCCTAAATACCATGCATAAAGAGAATAGAATATATTCTAATTCAACAGAAAATTAAGAAAAAATTCACATTGTGAGTAAGACAGTAGAATAGCTGTTTCTAATTAACCAATTCAAGAAGCAAAGCAATTCAAAGAAGCAAAGATACAGATCCTAATGAAAAACTTTTGCTCTCCCTCTCCTTCTGTGTAAGAAACACCAAGACTTTCATAGACTTTGATCAATCTAATAACATGCATTCTTGAGATAAACCATTTTGGGAAAAAAATGTATCTTCAGAAAAGAATCAGGCTTCAGGAAAAAAAATCAAGTTTCAGAAAACATGTACAGACGGAAACACCTCTATGTATCGGTTGGTTGTTTATGTTACTGATGGTTTCTCTTTCTTTTTCAATATTTTATCTGAAAATGAAATGATCAAAATCGAGCCTTAAACCTTTACACCAGCGCCTAATGAAGAAAAAGAAAATTGCACTTCCTTGACTGGCGCTCACACCCCCAGAAACATACATAAATCCTTTTCTTTGCAATAAGAAGTTCTAGTTAACGTCCTAACATCGCATACTGGTTCTCTTACAAGAGCTCAGATGTTATACTAATATGATAGAATAGCTCCTTACCTTATTTGAACTTAAGCTGTGGATTCGGTCACTAGAATAGCTATGGGGTATTGGAGGGTCAGGATAATCCTCAGCACCTTTTGTTGTATTCTTCTTGATGACTTCTACGTAGGAAACAGGAAAGATGCCTTGTCTGTTGGTTCCTGGAATTTTACCTTCATACCAGTTCTGATCGACCCTTTTAAGAAGAATAACTCTGTCTCCCTGAAATGAACGTTAGGAAAATGTATTATAAATAGAGAAGTGACAACCTGCAAAGTGTAACTGCCAATGGTTTCTAATACACAGTATTTTTTTTCCATTTGGGAAAAGTCTTAAAATCCCAGTTTTTGTTTAATCAAAGGAATGCAAGTAAGGTTTCTGAACTTACTCTCAAATGGCAGATTATCAGCACATACACAATTTAATCATCCGTTCACAAATCAGAAGCTTCCCTCAGGATGTTTGTCTTTGGGGATGAGTTTATACATATTCATACTGCTCTTGTGTGAACTGACTAGTGTAACTTGTTTAAACATTGGAGTAGTTTAACAGGAAATGTCTCACTGACATGATCCTATGGCTAATAGATTCAGGGAAATGATCTTTGGCTGGAAGAGCTTCAGAAAAGCGAACCACAGCTCGCTATGCTCGCTTGCAGAAATCACCCTTCAGAAGGGATGAGGTTGGATGGCACATCATTTTACTTCATTAATCTACCTGTGCTAAAGTGTCAAAGAGTGCAAAAGGGGCAGGGAAGCAAACATAGCACTGGTGATAATCCATAGTTGTGACCAGGGCAGACATCTAGCTGGCCTGTACCGGGACAGTGTAACACCAGCATCCATTCTGATTGCTTGGTGGCCATGCCATATGGGCCATTAAATATTTGAGTAGCACTCCTGACTTTTGCAGTAATAGGACTTTCTATAGTCACTGTTACCTGCAGTGATCAAGCCTATGCGATATAACCCAGTTTAAGTTTTAACTGAAAACCACAGGTGGCCCAGACACTAACAGGCAAGATGGGGTCAAACAGCAAACACTCTCCAGCTGCCTTCAGAAGGTGCTGTTTCCTTGATCTAGGCACTGTCCCTTTAAGTGACCCAAATTTCAGCAGCAATGTATCTGATTCTGTATCTCTTCTTAACAACATCAAAAAGGACTCTTTCAGCTTCCTGATTTGCACAGTTGACAGTGATTAAATGACCTGTTTTATTGTTTTCTAGAAGGTGCATGTTTGAGGTGACAGCATGTCTGCACACGACACACACAGATAATAATATTCAGCGGCATTCCTTTGTTGTTGTTGATGTGAGGTGCCGTCAAGTTGGTTCCCACTGATAGTGACACCATGTACAACAGAATGAAAGATTGCCTGGTCCTGCGCCATCCGCACAATCATTGCTATGTTTGAGCCCATTGTTGCAGCCATTGTGTCAATCCATCTCATTGAGGGTCTTCCTCTTTTTTGATGACCCTCTATTTTAACAAGCATGATGTCCTTCTCCAGGGACTGGTCCTTCCTGACAACATGTCCAAAGTATGTGAGACGAAGTCTTGCCATCCTCGTTTCTAAGGAGCATTCTAGCTGTACTTCTTCCAAGACAGATTTATGGCAGTCCACGGTATATTCAATATTCAATATTCTTCGCCAACACCATAATTCAAAGGCATCAATTCTTCTTTGGTCTTCCTTACTCATTGTCCAGCTTTTGCATGCATATGAAGAGATTGAAAATAGCATGGCTCGGGCCAGGTGTACCTTAGTCCTCAAACTGACATCTCTGCTTTTTAATGCTTTGAAGGTCTTTTGCAGCAGATTGGCCCAATACAATGTGTTGTTTGACTGCTGCTTTCGTGGGCATTGATTGTGGACTCAAGTAAAATAATGTCCTTCAACAACTTCGATATCCCTTGGAGAGGATTAAGACTGTTAGAGCCAGATCCTGCTTCCCAGGCTAAGCCACAGGGGGAAATTCTGCCAGAGAAGCTTTGTGTCCTCCACAGGGAACCTCATCTGGAAAGACACAGGGCGGTAGGTAATAACAGCGCCTCAGCTCAACTTAGGGAGTCCTTTGTAGAAAATGGGGGAAAACACGACAATGTCTAAGGAAGGAAATAACTCATTTCTGTTTTGAACATAAACAGCCTTTCAAATGCACCAGTGAAGTAAACAGCCCTGTTACCTTTCTCAGAGATAACTCCACATTTGTGTCTGCATTGAAATTATATTTGGCTATAGCTTCTCCAATTTCTCCAGGCTGGGCTGGGGGAGGTGGTCTTGCAGGCTGTGCTTTCTCAGGAGGTATGAGTTTCTATGAAAGAAAGCAGTGATTTATTCTTGAAATCTGTGATGACTTTTGAAACCACCAGCCAACAGGGAAGCGGAAAGGACTTACCTCCACGTATGAGATAGGAAAAATGCCCACTCTCCCGTGGTGCTCTCCCTCGTACCAATTCTGATCAATTTTCCTGAGGATGTAGACAGTATCTCCTTTCTTAAATGACAACTCCCTGCAAGGAGACATGTTTAAATGGTCGTTTTCTTGGTTGTCAGTTATTCTTAAGATCTACACCTGTACTACATTTTATTAGAAAACGTGAGTCACGTATTAAAAAAGTCTTCAGCCCGTTTAGATAAGGATTTTTCTCGCAAGTTCTTAGAATTCACTTGTAACAATGTATCTTTTAGCAATTATTTCAAAAAGTGTAAGTATGAACATTACATCTGTTATAAATCACAGACAGGTTAATATGAAATGTAAAGGAGAGGACAGACCACTGCTATCTGATCATTAGTTTATAGAAGAGGCCTTCGAAGCTTGGCAAAATGATAGTTCTGCACTGAGTTTTCTTTTTTTTTTGTCCTGAAGCAGCTAGCTAGTTGTCTCTCTCTCTCAAGCTCTCTCCTTTGATATGCTAAAGTTTACAACAAGGAAAACAGTTAGTATTTAGGCTCAGAACAGAAGTGCCAACACCAGAAAACATTTTATTTGTGGATCTTTGAAGATGGTTGACAGGTATTTATTTTTATTTTTTTCCTTGTTTTCATTGTACTTTAGATGAAGGTTTACAGAACAAATACATTCTCATTAAACAGTTAGTACACATACTGTTTTAGGACAATGGTTAACCCCACGACATGTCAGCACTGTCCCTTCTCAACCTTGGGTTCCCTATTACCATTGACGGGTATTTAAATAGAACATCTCGATAAGGAATTTCTTTTGTGTAATACAAAAAAGATCTCAAACTTCTATTTTTCAATGGGGCACAAAGATCAATTTTAAATGTAAAGGCAAAGAACAAATTTCTTGTTGCCTTCTTTGTAGCTTTTTGTTTTTTAAATTAAAATATTTTCAAGACTCTGTTTTTCCATTTTGGATGTTTCTAAAAGACAGTAGGTAAATTTCGATGACTATGTTTTACATTTTGATTTATAAGAACATTACTTATTTTGAATAGTTTCTCATGTTGAATCAGTTATTTGTGCAGAATATGTAATGGAAACAGGATTCACATCAGATGTAGGTTATTTCTCTGATCAGTTAAAAACTGTTGCATAATGAAAAACTTGTTACTCATTTAAAACAAACAAAAAACAATTGCCACCCAGTTGATTCTGACTCATGGCGACCCTTTGTGTCTCAGAGTAGAACTATGCTCCAAAACGTTTTCAACAGCAGAGATTTTTTGGAGGAAGATCACCAGGACTTTCTCCTGAGGTACCTCTGGGTAGATCTGAACTACCAGCCTTTGAGTTAGGAGCCAAGCATGCAACCCTTTGCCATGTAGGGACTCTTTTTACACATTTAAAACCCGAAACCAAACCCATGGCCATGGAGTCCATTCCGACTCAGAAGTGCTAACATCTTCACATTGAAAGCATGTTAAATATTCAGTTACATTAAAGGTAAAGAGGAGCCCTGGTGGTGCAGTGGTTAAAGCTCTCGCAGCAGATCGAACCCCCTAACCGCTCGCAAGGAGAAAGATGTGGCAATCTGCAAAGATTTACAGCCTTGGAAACTCTATAGGCCTGTTCTACCCTATCCTACGGGCTTGCTGTGAGTCAAAATCAACTCGACGGCAATGGGTTGGGTTTTATAAAGGCAAAGAAGGTTCACAAAGCCTTATGCTCAAATATAGTGCTTCCCTCTTTTATGCAAATGTATGACTTAAAAAACAAAACATAAAACGAAACAAAAAATTCAGTGTTTATAATCCAATAGTTGTATTTGTACTGGGTATATTTTGTTTTTGGAAATGAGACCAAGAAGCTCATTGTTTTTGGTAATGTAATTAGAGATAACTAATTTTTTTCTTTTAAATATTAAAAAAAACTTTTCGATTTGTATAGCATTGTATTTAAAATTTTGAAGTCATTCAGAAAAAGGAAAATAGTCTTCCTCTTCTATTTTCAAAACTGGCTCCCTCTCACCGCAGAGCTAGACTTTCTAAGGCTTCTGATTTCATTAGTTTCCTTTCGTTTATTATTATTATTTCATTTTGAATAGTGGCATTTTGGAAATGGCATTTTATCCTTTTTTCTTATTTAAATATTGAGATATTATATGTAATGAGTTATTTAAGTGGTACTTTTTAAACGAAATTTTCTTGAGTTAGGTAAAATAGCTTTTAAAGCAGATAGTTATTTAACAACAAATGTATCTGTCTCTTGTTCACAAGATGTTAGGTGCAGAAAATGCTCACATGTAATGAATTATTAACTGAAATGGCTAGTCCCATAATTTGCAGCCCTTTAAGGTCGCCTAAAATGCCCATAATCCTGATTTTTGTGTCAAAGATACAACTACACTGAGGGTGATGAGCAGCTAAGAACAGAACGGGAGGGACATGGTGAAGCTGCAGGAAGATGAAGTTATTTATGGTATGAGGAAAATTTTTTTCCCACAAAGGTTGTTGGCTGGCTTCCGTGGGTGGTTGTTTGATCTCCTCCTCCGAAGACTCACACAACTAGATTTTTGTTGGTTTCGAAAGAACTAGTGATGAACTTTGTGAAGGACTGGTGGAGACAACCTTTCAGGAAGGCTGTGCCTTTTTCTCTGGCCTGGCAGGTGTGGTGGGTGGGCTTCCCTGAACCTTTGCTAACTCGGGGCGCGCACCGTGAGGGCACAGCTCATGGAGGACGGCGAGGGGCTTAGCACGTGGAGCAAACGCAGTCCAGTGATGCAACCAACATACCAAGCGCCTTCCGTCTGCATTGCGTTATCTTTCTCTTCGAAGTGTGGTTTTTATTAAGGCATCTCAAAAACCCTGTGAGCCCTGGCGAATATCCCCTTCCTATTTTACAGGGTTTCATGTATTCCTTAGGGTTTCATGCATTTAAGCATGCTTCTGATTGATTGTCACAAAGAAGAAATGATATTTCAGTGTTCTTTATCATTACTTTATAAAACTCACAGAGGGTAGCAGAAACAGAGCAGATGTGGCTATCTCATCAATAAGAAGATGTAAGCTTTTCTTCAGGGCTTCTTTCTTTCCACTGGACTGAAGCCATGTCTCACATCTTAATTTCCAAATAACATTTTTTTACTTATTTCATTTCCTATCTCAGCAGCATTACCAGATTCTACTGAGTGAGTTTATTTCTTATCTGTTTTATTCCAGAGACAGTTTCTGGAACTATGAATTCACATAAATGTTTATTAATGAAATGTTTTGTTATGATATATATTAGTTTAAACAAAACGAAATAATTTAATGTCAATTTACAATGCAGTCAATGTTCTGAGTTCTAATGGAGACCAGAGTTTCTTAAAGAAGGGTCCAGGAACATGGACTGCTGCAGAGCTGGAAGATTCTCTCCCACTGAAGCCTGCTCACGTGCTTAGTACTATCCTCAACCAAGTGCCTATTTAGTATATAAGTTCTTAAAGAAAAAAGGTCAAAGAAATATTGCAACACCAAAAAACCCCACAAAAAACCCAAACCCATTGCCACTGAGTTGATTCTGATTCCTAGCAACCCTATAGGACAGAGTAGAACTTCCCCATAGGGTTTCCAAGGAGCAGCTGGTGGATTCGAACTGCCGACCTTTCGGTTAACAGCCATAGCTCTTAACCACTATGCCGCCAGGGTTTCCAGCAGAACCCCCAGGAGTATTAAAATACCTACATCAAGAGACCACCATGGGATAGAACTTTGCTCAGAATCTCTCAGCTCTGAGTGTTGAGACATGGAAATTTTACATGACTCTTTGTACACAGAGTTCTAGCGGTCAACCTCACAAACTATACTTGAGATAGCTGGATAAACAAATGTTGTCACATTCCCTGTTAGTGATACTGCTCTCCAACACTTTATTTTTACTCCATTGTTGAGATAAAAACTCTAGATTTTGAACTCATTGTACTCTAACATGTTTAATGAAATTTAAAATGCAATGCGTCACAAGTAAACTCAAAATGAAAATAAAATTAGCCCGTTCCAATTAATTCTGAAGGAACAATTTAATTAGAGTGGATTGCTGAATTGGGAATTAGGCCTTATTTGTAACACACCCCACTGCAATATTTATCTCTGGAAATCTTACTAAAGTATTTAAAGACAATTTAAATTATGTGATGAAAACTTATCTTACTTACTTAGATGTCTGAGCCTTAAAATCGTAAACAGCTTTTGCAGGCAGCTTCTAAAAAGGAAGGTAAACAATTAGCACTGAACTTAAAATTTGGATCTCCTATAAAAAAGCAGTTTCATACAAATTAAAGATAATTAAAACCTCAGGGAATGATTAAACATACATAATGTAAATCTTAAATGCAATTTACAAATAAGTCAATTGGTTCTGCATTTAGACATTTAAGCTATTAAAAAACCCAAACCTGTTGCCGTTGAGTCGATTCGGACTCCGAGCAAACCTACAGGACAGAGTAGAACTGCCCCATAGGGTTTCCAAGGAGCGCCTGGTGGATTTGAACAGCCAACCTTTTGGTCAGCAGTCAAGCTCTTAACCACAGTGCCACCAGGGCACTATTTAAGCTATTACAGGGATAGAAATAAAACATCCGAGATGATCTATTCCCCATAACTATTGACTGTCACATTTCATTTTGGAACTAGGGTAGATGGATGCCATACTGGGGAACAAAACACCTGCAGAGGATTGTCTCCTGTGAGCGATTCTAGCAATAACAAAGGCTTTTCCTGGGATAATTGCAGGATCAGTTGCTCTATGTTCAATGTATTGGCACAGCTCCTCCTTCTGAATCATGATAAATAGACTGGACAAAGCCATGACTGCCAGCCCTTTTACTAAATGCTCACGAAAATAATAGCAAAGAAACAGTATCACTGGGAAGTGTAGGCGTGGTCATCTTGCATCCCCTGGAGGGCTCAGGAATCCTTCAGCACATGTCAACCAGCTGCTCATCTTTCAATCATGATGTAATGGGACATGTGCCCATCCTCGAACATTGAGGCCCACAGACTGCCTGGACCCTATGGCAACTACGTCACCCCCCTCCCTTCAAAATACTCACTTACCCCACTGTCTTTCCCAGTGATTCTGGCGAACCTTAGGAAACCTGGACCAAACCCAACCTCACTGCTGATTTCTTAGGGGTCTACAGGCACTGGACCACATGAGTCCCCTCCCCTGTGAGCTCCCTACGATGTGTCTGCCAGTCCACGACCAGCTTTCAGTTTCCCTCACACCCTCATGGCTCCAAGGCTGGACGCATTAGAACTCTGGTCCTGGCTCAGGGCCAAGGACTAAGAGCCAGTGAGTGGTAGGTGATCCCCAAGGGCACTGCCATCGAGAGCTGGGCGGGTTAGCAGAGTTCTGGAGGCCCAACTTTGACAAAAGTGGCCAGATAATATTATTATGTGGAATTTGTGCTGATTTGCAACACTGTTGACCCAGAGCTCTTCTCTAGACCACTGGGCCAGAAATTTGTACAGAGCAACCTCTTCTTCCCATGAGGTGGTTGAGCTTAGGACTCAGCCCACAACCGTTAATCCACAGGTGTCCAGACTCGGAGAGGCCACATTGCTAAGACGGGACCACAACTGGGCAGAGCTGCAGCCACGGTCAGAGTGCGAACTGCTCTCGAGGTCTACCCTCAGTCTTGGGTTCTTGGTTGTTGTTTTTATATTTTTAGTCCAGGCCCTTTACTGGATTTTGAAGATAACTTTGATCGGCAAGCGCTTTATCAAGGATGTGGCTTAAAAATACTCGAGTGCTACTAAACTTCCTACCTCTTTGTCTGGAGTTCCTCGTCTCTCCCGTGATGCACTTCTCCCCAAGTCAGTCAGCGTGGATGAGTAACCTCTAGGGGACTCCCGGTCTATTGGAAGGACAGGGCCGGTCAGAGTGAGCACCCGCTGAATTACAAGCAGGCATGGTTCGCCATTTTCCCTAGTGGCTACTATTTTCCCTCGAAAGTTTGGAGAGGCACCCCAAATGAAAACACGGGTGTAAAACGCACGGGCTGTTGTGACGTTGTGATAGAGGGACATGCAAAAAAAGAGCGCTTCAAAAGGGGAAATATCCGATTGCAGAAGACATGTAATTGCTACGTTCCCGATAGAATTATACTGTGGCACCCAGTGCAGACATTTTTCCTTTCAAAGATTTCTCGACACTTTCTGTTTCCATTCTTTTTGCCTTCAATTTAGTAATAATAATTATAAGGCCTACAAAGCAAAACCGAACCAATTGCCCTTGAGTCGATTTTGACTCATGGTGCCCCCACGTGCTCCAGAGGGTGTTCAATGGCTTTTGGAAGTAGATTCCCAGGCCTTTCTTCTGGGGTGCCTCTGGGTGGATTTGAACTGCCAATCTTTCAGTTAGTAGCCAAATAGAAGTAGGAAATTTGAAAATAGCAACAATTTATAGAAACGGAAAGATTTTGTGGAACAACAGTTCAAAAATGTAGTCATGAAAAAGAAAAAGAGAGAAAAGCAAAGAGAATACGACGATGACAAACTATAATTATGCCCATTCTCTTCTCTGTCTCTGTTTCTACGCCATTAGAGACGTAAGGAGTCACAGTCGTCTCCTCATGGCCTCCTTGTACCCAGCTGATAAACCATCTTGTCAGAAAGTAAATGTTTATTCCAAAAAGCAAAGTGATAAAATCTCTCTAAACAGAAGGTGTCCTACCAATTTTCAAGTTGTTTATGAAATATTAAATTGTTTTTTTTGCCATAAACCAAAGTATAAGTAATTAATTACATTACAGAAGTGTGGCTCCAAGTATTTCTTAATAGTGTCTTATACTTTATGCATTTTTGTGACTTATAAGTGGAAATGTAACTTGAGGGGAAAAGTATTCCAGTCGTCTATGTTATAGAATTTTACCATTGTCACTAAGCCGAATTCAAATTTTTTCTTTTATCCCTTTAATAAATTTAGTTATATCAAATAACAAAAAGCTTGAAAACTAAAATCAATAAATTTATCTGTGGAGCAATTAAAAATGCTAATTCATAAAAAGAAAACGTTGTTTGAAGGTTTTGACTACTTTTACTACAAGAAAGAATTGGCTTCTTACAGCAGGTGGGTATCGGTGACATAGCAGGATAAATGTCTAACTCTCTGAACTGTGGTTTGAAGATCCTGCACAGTCTTCAGGCGTAGGAAGGTAGCACAGCCAGAGTCTCAGCCAGTTATCTTCACGAATGGGAGAGGATTCTGTGCAGTGTGTTTTTCATTCTAAGTTAATATGCCTTTATAATCAGAGGGCTCTAACAGTGAGCACAAATTTTAAATTACTTTTACTAATCCATGGGATATAAACTATTTTCACTTGGACTAAACAGCAATAGAAAGTAAATATTTTGTTAAAAAACAAAACCATTGACATGTGTTTCAAAGTCCTCTCAAAACGTGTTTCAATAATGTAACTTTAGCTGCATATAAAATTGAGAAATGAGGATATTTGAGTCACTGAGTTTTAGGATACAGAAAATCTGGAAAAGGTAGCTAATTTATTAAAAAATTAGATGCTGACATGCATCAGTCACTGAAAATTTCAAATTGCAGAAATTGACTTTAAAAATTCTAATTTATTTGTGAAGTATGTTGCATAGAATAAATGAAAGCAGAGATAAATATTAAGAAAATAAATTTGTGAAATTATAATTAACAATTGGTCCATATGTATTACATTGACATGAAATAACCATTATATCTCTTTTTTGTCCATAGAGATTATATATTTTAATAACAAATTCTGAACTGTTAGAGGGTTGAATCCCGTTTCTGCTATCTACGGTCTGTGTGACCTTGGGCAAACTGCTTGTCCTCTCTGAGCCTCACTTTCCTCAGTTATAAAGCAGTGCTGACAGTAACACCGGTCACAGGGGTCTGTGCCAGTTTTAATCTGATAGTGCGTGTAGGCACTTGGCAGTGTCTGGCGCATACATGGAAGGTGCTCTGTTGGCGATCTGAGTTTCAGCCTCAAACGTTCATTCCAGCTTCATAAAATTCACATAGTCAACAGATGCACTTTAGTAATTAATAAAAAGAATTGGATAAAAATATCAAAACACCTTGTATTTTTTAGTCATATACACTTAAAAAAAAAAGTCCTCTGCTTTTGAATTGTGATTGGCCTTGTGTTAACCCTTGAAAGTGATATCCATCTGAGAAAATGAAGACGAAGTCACGTTAGCCTAAGCAATCTAATTCTTATATTGATATAGAACTGTTTTAGTCGAAGCCGAAAATGAAAAAACTAAGTGATGGAAAAAGAAGAGAAAATGAATACACTGAGTGATGAAAATGGGACCTGTATATATACATCTTAAACATTCACAAAAATTTTACTCCCAATGCTTTAAATGGAGACAGTCATTAAATGAACCCCATTCTCTTTAGTTATCCATCAGCTACTTTGTTATATATTTTGGGCTTGCTTCTTGAGAGTGTTTTAATGTAGTATCTTCTATATAGAATGTGAGTAAATTATTTATTGAGTGAATGACTCCAAGGTTAATATAAAAACCAAAGTAAAGATTATCTGTTAGACTATCAATTTTGAATCATTTTATAATGAAAATGCACCAATGCAAATTTTCAGTCTCCTAAGGATACTGAGATTCAATTAGAATTTCTGTCTTGAAATATTCTTTTTAGTTTGGTCAATTGTTTTATCTGTTGTTTTGATGTGCACAGCAGTTGTTTCAACCCTAACATTAAGGTACAAATGGTTTTCCTTTTTAATTTTGAATAAGTAAAATTTTGTGAATTGATGATTACGCTACACACGAAGTCCAAATATCGCGTGAGTAAATGAGAACTATTCAGGAAGACACGTTTGCACGGCAAGCAATCGCTTCACAACACATAATGGCGCCAAGCGGCCTTCCAGCTCAGGACTGATGAGATGTAGGAATGGAAAATGAAAGAGCCGGAGGGCGGGTACGTCAACCACAAGGAAAAAGAAAGAAAAGCGAATCCACCTTGGAGACTCAGTGCACCGTCGTGGTCCGGGTGGTGGTGGTGGTTGTTGGATGTGCCCACGTCCTGGAAGGAGGCGCTGTGGGGCATTCTCCCACAGTCGTTCTGGTCCAACGGACAGTGGATAGCACCATCGTGAGGCAGCGGGCGTGGAGGCTGGTGCATGGGGCTCCTTTGCAGAGCTTTAAGCGATGAATTCCTTTCAGGAACATCTGGCAGCAGTTCGCTAATAAGACGGTGCAATATACTGTTGTCTGGCAAGCTTCCCCTTCTCTTTTCAGCTTTAATTTGGTCACAAATGTCTTTAAGGGCAGAGTCCAGAGCCTCAATAACAGATGCTTTACATTTTGCCTTTTCAGTCTGTTTTTTGGGAGTCGGATTTTTTTTCCTCCGGAAAGGCACAGGACTGACTAGAAAAGCAAGCTTAGAGAGGCCGGGGTCTGTTTCTTGTCTTCTGGGCTCGTCAGTATTCTCCTGCTTTGCTCGTTCATGTTTTAGCATTGTGGTGAACCGCGTATAAGAGGCAGGGCACCTACCTTTGCAGGAACTGATAAGGTGTCGGTGATGGTGATGGTGGTGGTGATGGTGATGGTGGCTGGATCCGTAAAAGCTTTCAGAGGATGTGAAAGAAAAGTGATCAAAATCACTTTCACTGCAGAAGGATGACCCCTCTACGTGAATGAAGTCGCTGTGGTCAGACACAACTCCGTCCTGGTCACTGTCTGAAAACTCCACGTGAGTTCTCGGCTGCTCGTCGCTGGTCACTTCAATGTGAATCGGCACCAGAGTTTTAGGCTTGTAGCTTCGCTGTACTTGAGAAGGGTATCTGCTTTGATTTTCTTCCTCCAGCAAAGACTCAATGGAAAATCGCCTTTTGGGACATAGACCATTTTGTGGTGGCTCTAAGGTCCCAGGAGACAGCATTTCATCCCCCAAATTTGGCATTGATTTTGACTTCTGAATCAACTTCTCAAATTCGGAAATGCGGGTGGGCACCATGTCCCTGGGCACCTCCTCAGTGGAGGACTGGCTCCATCCATGGAGCAGACCCTGGTGCTGCTGCTCCTTCTCATACTGTATGACCCTCGACTTCACTGAGCAGATCACCTCTGAATTCATCAAGTCTTTGCGGTTGATGCGGTGCATTTTCTTGTACATTTTCAGGAAGCCGGGGGCATCGTGGGCTGACCTGTGTCTAGTCCGTGACCTGCCATTGCTGTGACTCTCCTGGACGGAGGGGGCAGCCCACGGCGGGGCGCAGCTCTCCTTGGAGTCCTCCTCACACAACAGAGAGCCCATGCTTTCCGACTTGGTTTTCGGGTCAGGGAAGCTGTCGCAGTCATTGTTCAGGAGATCGTCACAACTCCGGGATTTGATTTTGGGGGAAACCGTTTCTTCGGTGCTGCTCCAGACCTCTGCGTTTTGCCGGGCCATTTGCCAGCCGTTCTTGAAAGTAATAGCCCTTGGCGAGTCCCACGGGACGTCCAAATGCTGTCTATACGTGCTACAGTAATCTAACTCAGTGGAGGGGTTGCCGTTGAGCCCCGAATAACTGCAAAGGGATGGACACATTTTGCTATCATCCCCACCTTTTAATCCAGAGAGCAGCGTGGTAGAAGAGAGACATTTTGAGAAGTTAAAAGGTTCACCAAGAGAGCAGAGCATGTCAGTAAGCATCAGATAGCACAGAAAAGAGAAAGCCGTTAGTGTGGTTTATCCTAGACACCGATTGTTACACATGTAGCTTCGGCTTTAGAGAAAAAAAGTATAATTCTGAAGAACAAGGTAATAATTTTTAAAGGAATGTAGCTTTGCAGATATTAGAGTTAACAAAACCATGTATAACAAGTAATATAGTGTAGCTAATATATTTCTTTCTATTGCACAGTTGACACATCTTTCTGCAAATATGATATGCCCAAAACACAACAGTATCCCTTAAGCTACTTAACAGCAAGAGTTGGTAGTCACTTCAATGTCTAATGATTAACGTCAAAAGTATTACAGACTTAGTCAGCTTGTTAGGGTCAGGCTTTGAGTCTGAATTGATTTATAATAACAGGTAAACAGTAATTAATAAATTTATATTTAATAATTCCACAGTTATATCAAATATTTTTTCATGGGCATTGGATAGAAAAAGCTATAAGACAAAGTATTTTCCAACTATTTAGCAAAATTGCAAAATTAAGATGTTGTGGGCTATTGCTGCTCATATTTTTCCAAGAAAAAAATTAGCAGGGCCTCTAAAAATAAACTAATTTTCCTCTTTAATTGCTCTCTTTTCAACCTCATAATGATAGCTGGATGTAATGTAAAACCTTCCTCAGAGGTAAAGGCATCTTGCTTTCTGTCAGGTTTTTTTTCCCATGTTAATCTTTTGTGATTTGATAATAGAGAGCTAAGCTTGACCTTAACTTGGAATATCTATGGAAATATTTTATTTTGCTCTGCCAAGTTAACGCTAATGAATGAGAGGACAAATTTCTACATCTAATGGGACATTTTCTTCTTAGAAATAAAATCTATTGGAGGAAAGCATCCCTATGGAAACCTCACGCCTTATAATCTTCCCCAAATTCTCTGGAAGTCGGTAAGTACGTTAAGTGGATATGCAGTGTTTGGGAACGGAAGTTAATTTAACCCTCCTTATGAGAAAACAAATCTGTAAACTGACTGAAATCCTTTTCCCTTTGGGTAGTGTTCAAACACAGTGAGTCAGCGGCATTTTATGGTCTATTTCTTATCTTAAGGTATCATTTGCATAAACGAGTAGAATCTGATAAAGTCAGGCCATACAGAGAAATGGCTTGGTGATTTCTAAATATTATAACCACGGCTTGAGACCAGTGGGCTCCTCTGTATGGACAGTTGTGAACTGAACACTGTGTTATGTGACAGAACACGGGTGCTCTACTGTACGTGTGAATGCTGACAGAAATCACAGAGCAAATAATTAAACAATGTTAGTAAGTTAGAAGAATTTTAATCTAGATTTAAATAACTAGAAAAATCAATCTGTACTTTAGGCCACAACTTTCTCTGTTGCTGCATTTAATTCCCATTCTATAAATTTGATTACTTTTTCTACTTACAGTAACAATAGAAAACTTTGACAATATGTGGATGTTTCTAAACGTAGTCTTTTAACTGGCGTGACAAAACATTATTCGATGCTTTGACTTTGTTCAAAGAAAACCAAATGATATATATGGGAAAGAAACATTAACAGATGCTAATCAAACAGTCCTTTAAGCAATCCAAATAGCTCGCCAGCGTGACTTAGTCTGGGTAGGAAAAAGTCTATTTCTCTGAAACTACGTTTTATTCAAGACACCGCATTTAAATGCTAACGCGTGGTTCTCACTGACCAGCCCTCACATGGTACCCTAGGCTACAACCTAACCTAGTAAGTTATTTGAGTGTCACGTAATTGCCGCTCACCTTTTGCTCTCGATGGGGAGGAAGGAGAAGAACTAATGAAGGACTTTGTAAGGGTGGCGCTTGAGCCCAGGTGGTCCACAGTACCCGGGCTGGTCCTGCTTGCGCTGGGATCCCCCAAGCCCCTCGGCCGACCCACTGCAGGCTCGCTCCTCCTCCTTTTCCTAAAGTCACTGGCCATGCTTGCAGAACTGAAAAAAAGGACCAGCACCAGTTGGATTGCTATTGGCGGAGGTTACTCTGTAAACATCGCCTGGGGAGTGCGGATGGTTTGTGTGCTCAATTACTAACCTAAAGGTTGGCAGTTCGAACCCACTCAGCAACACTGCAGAAGAAAGCCCTGGGGATCTGCTTCCATAAAGATTACAGCCAAGAAAACCCTATGGAGCACAGTTCTACTCTGTAACACATGGGATTGCCATGAGTCGGAATTGACTTGATGGCAACGGGTTTTCCTATGTGAACCAGAAAGATGGGTGGATGATGCTCCTGGCAGTGGTATAACTCCTGTCTCGCATGCCCCAGGCTGCACTTTAGGGAATTTATTCCTTCACATTACATTAAGCACGATTTCTTTATAATCTTTTAAAATAAAAGTCTTCTTTTAGTGTAACATGCTGAGAGTGACTGTCCAGTGTTGTAATCTGTGTTACGTATTTGCTCTCTGTAAGGGAGATTCCGACAACAGGAATATATCCACCAAAACCCCAAAACCCGCTCCGTCATGTCAGTTCCAACCCATAGCGACCCTGTAGGACAGAGCAGAACTGCCCCATAGGCTTTCCAAGGAGTGGCTGGTGGATGAGAACTGCCGACCTTTTGGTTAGCAGCTGAGCTCTTAACCACGGTACCACCAAGGCTCCAGAAATATATCCACAGGGGGTGCTAAAATGGGGAAAAGGGCTGGAAAAAAGAGGCAAGACATCTATTAAGACAAAGGTCTCTGACCTCAAGGGTTTGCCTGTGGCTTTTCCTAAGAACACTAGCTTGGAAAAACCTTACACCAAAATCCCGGTGTTTTCTGTTTAACTAATGAATGACTAATCATCTGGTCAGCAAATAAACAACTCAGGATGCCATTCCTCCCACTGCAAAGCATGTTACTGACACTCTGTAATGGCAGGGTTTTTATCCTGGGTCTGGGCTTGAGTTTAGTATCATTTTAAGACAAACATTAGTGAATGAAGGGACTTATCACACAGCACATTTTCTGTCAAATCACTAGATGGAATTATGTCTATACTAGATAAAACGTTTGTTGCAGCAGCAAGAAAATCAGCTCATATGGGCCAGGTAATGGGCTGCCTGCTTTACTGACATTATTGTCTGTTTTAGCCTTGATGGTAAACCTATGAGGTATGCAGTGTTACCACTGCTTTACAAGGCAGTAAACTGAACACACACGCTTGGCAAGTACAGAGGTGGAGCGAGACCTCAGGGTTTGTCTGCGTCTTCTACACAGGATGCCCAGTCTTCCCCTAGACCTGCTCTCTCTGTCTCTGTCCTGTCGTGTGAGGCTGTGTGTGTCTTTACATCAATCCTCAGGTCAGATGAAGAGTCTAAAATGCAAACGTTTTGGGTGCATACAGAGATGCAGAAGACATCAAAGGAGGGGTAGGGGGAGCTCCTTTTTAAGTGATATGAATTCAGTTAAACGGCACTCATGAGCCCAATTTACAAAGTTTTCTTCTGATGTTGACAGAAATCTTATGGAAGGGAAAATTAATGTTATATAAGTATTTGTTGATGATGCTGTTGATGATATGGATGGAAGTTCGTATGTTTCGGCATTGCTATTAAACTGTTTCTGAATTTCTGCAATATTTTAAAGTAAGTGTGATATTTGTAGCACATTAACAGAGCTTACCTTGGGCAGACTCTTAGCTCAGTCAGGACTGGCGATTACAAGCTATCTTGGTTCAGGTTTTACTTTGTCTCTGCTACTTGTCAGCTGTGTAACCTTGGGTAAGCGACTTAGTTGAAGGTTGTTTCCGGCACGGGACTGGGCAATATTTTGTTACATTAAACGTAAGGTTGCCATGACTAGGCATCGAATTGATGGCAATTAACAACAACGATAACAATAACAACCAGATCAGATGCGGATAATAGTACCCACCTCACAGTGTCTGCTGAAGGACTGAATGTGTTTATGCACTTAGACTCCCTGGTGCACAGTGAGCCTTCATTCACTGGTAGCAATAACATTTCGGCTTTTTTGCGGACAGAATATAACTAACAAACATGTATACCACTTTGTAATTTATACAGTTTCTGCAAACATTATCATAAGCGTTATCTAACAATATTGAGAATTAGTTATTTATAATCCCTATTTAAAGAGGACAAATCTGGGCATAGAGCAGAGACAGTAGGGAAGAATTTCTCTGTCTGTAAAGGAATCCAGAATTATTTTAATTCATTTTTATAACTTCTTGGATATGATTATATAAAATGCTGTAGAAACAAAATAAAATAACCTCATGGGGTCTGGGTGCTTAAAATGAAAACTACTGATAAATAACCTTCATTACTAGTCCATTGATAAGTATTACTAATGAAAAATAAAGCATTACATAGGGTATTCCAATTGCATAATGGAATGAGGTTCTTACCTCGAGGGTCTCTCCAGGCTTCTGTCTATAGAGGACTGATACAGAGAGGCCTGTTAAGAGAGAAAAAAGAGTTCCATGAAGATTTTTACCATGGGAAAATTTTATTTTGTATATGGACATTAAATTAGGTATCCTAAAAAGAATATTGCAAAAATTGAGCAAGTGAAAATAACATTCATTAAGATTATAAAAGTATTCCCTAAGTATTTGTTGCTGTTGATGATACAGTATGCATGGTAGTGTGTATTATTCAATATTGCTATTAAATGGCCTCTGAATTTCTGCAATATTTTAAAGTGAGTGTGAAATTTACTTGTAACCACCAGGCCTAATTGCACTGGTGCACCTGATCTCTACTTTCTTCCTATCTACTTTCTCTTCAGTATACTGCATTGCATTTTACTGTGTAATTATAATTATCCAAAACCCAAACATTATGTAAGGGAGTGTGTGTAGGGAGTGTCCAATAATATTTCCTCAGGGACACTGAATAAAGAGCTAAAGTTACACTACAATATTAACTCCAGAATCTTGCCTACTGACTATAAATAGAAATTTCCTACATGAAGGAATAGTCAGATATTTTAAAAATATTTGTAGTCATCATTCAGTCCTTATAAAATAAAACTTCTTAAAGGTTTTTGCTACCAGGTGATATCTTTAAAACATGACGTTTAAGCAGAACTTCAGACATCTTTCATCTGTCAACACAGACATGAATGACATTTTAATAAAAAAAAACCACAGAATTTGTTTTGAAATTGAACTAAACTAATTACCTGGGACTTTAATCAGTACAGATTTATATCTTTTAAATTAACTGCTTGGTAGTTTAAAATAAATCATCTAACGAACCAACATATAACCGTTTTCTTCTTTTTTTTTACAAATGGACTGTTAACGTTTTTCTGAGATAATTTACTTTCAGTTTTCCATGGTTGTAGAAACAAAGAAAACATAGATAAAACAACTTGATAAATAATTCCAAATACTTATTGTATGTACACAACATTTTCAAACTCCTTCATTCTGAACAGCACACTGAAATAGATATTAAGCAGAAATGATAGCTATGAATTTTTCATTTTTTGTAGCCATCTACCGGGTTAGTTGCTGAAATACTTAAAAGGCAGGAGAGGATCAGCATTGAGCTACTGAATATTCCAGGTGGCTGCAAGGTGAAAGCAGTTGTGGTATGATGTCTGGGATGTACAGAGAAATGTGTGCCAACTATCACGCATGTACATATATAGTTCTGGCTTTCTTCATATTTGATGATCAGTTCTTCATCACAGATAAACTTTGGTTTGATAAAGAACTGAAATTCTAGCCTGAAAGTATCCTATATGAAAGTTTAGCAAAGTTTGTCAGAAAGACAGCATTTGAAAAATTGTATCTTAAGCTTCTGTCACATAGGAACATTTTACCAGAATATTAAAAACCTACTTAGGGGAAAATAAAGTATATTTTAAAAATGATTTTGATAACTCTATTTTCTATTTGTAAATTAGCACCCATTAACCAATTAAAATTTAGTGTATAATTTTGCAATTCTTTATTTAGGTCAATCTGACAAACCTCATTCTGCATAGCTCTAAAATTGCTTCTATTAGCTAATATTTTCATTTAATTTTATTGTACTGAATGAGAATGGAATCTTGCCCAGAAGCAAACAAAAACATCTCTTTTTTTTTTTTGCAAAAAATATCACCTCCCTTTAGACAGAAAAAGTATATTTTAATATTGCCAATTCTTAGAAAATATTTAGATTCCTAGGTTCTCAACAAATATAAAATTAGAAAAAAATTGATCTGCTAGTCTGATAAGTTAACATAATCATTTTAACTTGTTGAACTCTGAATTGTATGCTGGAAAGGTGGAAAAATAAACACAAATAAATAAGAAAGAAGACACAAGCAAATAAATATAACTAGATAATTGTATTCCAATTTAGAAATATTAATTCTACATGTTTGTAGAAGAGCAACACCAGACAGCCTCAGAGTATTGCCTCTGGGTAGATCCTGGCTTTCTTGGGGACACCCAACCACAAGCCTCAGTTGAACACAGAGAAGCGTCCAATTTGGAGCACTCTTTGAAGCTCTCTAGAGAGATCAGAAATCTTAACCGTTGGCCTTCAATGAGCCTAAGCAATACCGCACATTGTAAGAAGTGAAGGCTCGGCCTCTGATAAACTAATCGTGTTTCAGAGTTAGGCTCAGAAACGGCAATTATTCCTCCTTGCGCTGGTTTCAAAACAAACTAAAACCGTTTTGTGATTTTATGTAGAATTGAAGGAAAAGGTCTGGTGTTCAATGATAAGCTGACAGTAAAAAGTCGAGATGGATGAATGCGAGAAAGACTTGCACTGTGAGAATGGGACTCATCGTGAAATAGAAATCGTCTCCAGAAAAGAGGGAATTCATTTCACCTGTTATGATCCCCTGAGTATTTAGTGCTGCCACATTTAACACACCTAGGAGAAGGCCATCTGAAGAAAGTGCCGCCACTGAATCACTCTTCCTGCTGAGTGATCGTGTGATTAAACTTTGCGGGAAAGTTCTTAACTTTTCTTCATTAATGTCAGTTTCTCAATTATATTTATGGACTAAAAACTATGTTACTCATGGCATAGACTAGGCATTTGATAAATGGTAGCTAAGGTAATGTCTAATCAATTACAATTTTTACCAGAAATCTTTTACATAAAGTTCTTAAAGAGAATCCAGACATCTTATCAGAGCATGTTTTCTTACACTCTGAGAAAACCATTATGTTAACAACACAGTTAATATGCTGTTAGAGTTATACTACATCAATTCTCAGTCCCAAAGAGAACGGCAAATCAGGCTGCCCATCAGCAAAGTGCATTTTTATGTGATTTTTTTTTTTTTGGCCTCTACCATAACATTGTGGAATGAATTGAATTAAGTTTCTATGATTTTTATGCCAAGAATTATTGTGTAATATTAATTATACGAGCTCATTTATAGAAATTCAGTGGGGTAACAATGAATAGTACTAAGTAAGTAATCTGTTTCTAATAGATTCGAGCTCTGGTTGCACCTCTTGGAAGTGCTAAGAAGTATGGAATAAAAGAAATCACACTGAAGTGACGGTTAAAAGATCCATGTTTCATGTTTTCTTTGCCCCATTTTGCATTGTGATTTTGGGCATATGTAAAATTGTTGGGCCCTATATTTGTTGACTGAAAATTAGTGAGTTGGATACAATGATCTCTAAATTCCACTTCAGCTCTTAATAAACCACCTGAAAACATCCTACAAATACACTGAGAGAACTATCTGTCCAAATTGTTCAGTGTAAGTTTTGGGGTTGTTCATAAGTTGCAATGATACCCTTCTTCAGGACAGGGCTGCCTGTTTCACCTGGCGTCTTTCAGACTATACCTGGATACAAAACATAAACCTTTAGAAGTGACTGAATGCAATAACCTGGTATGTTGCTGATTATTTTACAGTCTATTTAATATATAAATGTTTCAATCACGCACCTGTTCTAATACACACTCGGATGCTCACGACAGGGGCAATAGTTGGAGTTACAAATGGAAGCTCTAGAAATGGGGTACAGGCTGTCCCCAGGTTACGAACGTCCGACTTACATACAACCAATAGTTACGAACCAACCCTGGTAAAGCCTATTATAGTAAAAATTCGAGGTACATGCAGTGATTCATAATAACAAATGGGCGCTACTTTGTAATGCGAATCAAACCATTACTTTTATTATTATTATTATTACTTGTTACTATGCTGAAGATGTTTTAGTGTATCTGGAACTGTTTCTTTAATGTTTTTATGCATAGAAAGGTACACTATATACTATATGCTAAGACAAACATTTGACTAACTGACAGTAGATACAAACTGTACCTAACTGTTCTGACTTATGCACAAATACGACTTAAAGACAGGCTTAGGATGGGAGCTTGTTCGTGATCCAGAGACTGACTGTATTTCCTCCTGAGGCTCTATATCTGCAATTCCAGCAGTCACCACTGTGTGTCAGCGGTACCTCATATAGCATACATGTCCTGCTTTTCTTTTCCAGTTGCACATATTTAACTGAGTTAAAACTTTTAAATAAAAATAAGATTTTTATTAAATGTTATTGTATTCACTTAGATCCACAGAGCAACTACTGTGTGAAAACCAGTTTATTCACTTTGCTTCTCTCTTCGCTGCTTCTAAGAGTTCCCCCAGGCAGGCTTTTATATGGTTGGTGTTTAGCAAAACAAGGTGTCACTTTTGCTTGTGTCCTCTAATGAGTCCCAACTCTGCTTTCCAAAATAATTTTGTTTTTCATCTAGCAGACTGTCATAAACATTCTCTAATAGAGAAGACCAATTCATTTCATTGCACATGCTAATGAAGATCTATTACAGTGGCTGCTTGGGTTACAGTGTCCAGAACGATTAGCAATGTCTGTCAAGGGTGTGGAACTGGGCAGTTGTGACACGTGTGCCAGGTATTTGTCAGTCCTACTCTTGACTGTTGATAAAACCCAGAAGTTGTGAGTATTTAGAAAAGTGGAAGGATTAAAATAAATCTCAGGAATATGTGGGGCATAAACATCTGATTATCTAAGAATCTAAATTTTAATATGCATCTCCATGTATGATAATAAATGGCCCTGAGAAGTCTTCTAGTAATATTTTGCTCAGTCTTATCAAAACAGATGGTTAATACATGCATTAAGACTAATACTTTTGGTTTTTGACTCTCACTTTGTACTGTAGTAAACAGTTTAACTGAAAGTTATGGTTGGAATGATTCTTCACTGCAGATCAGAAACGGCCATCAACTTTGGTATAATTAATGTCCAAGCAATGATACTGGGCACAACCCATAGAAGCAAAGATAGATTTTAAAAGTAGCTTTGACATTACAGTGAACTGTAAACCCTGGGTGTTCAGAATCACAGTAACAGCACACAGAGAGAAATCTGAAAAAGAGAGAACAATTTTTTTTTTTTTTTACCTCATTGGGAACACCAGAAGAATGATCTTGAACATAATCCAGAGCCTTTTTAGGAGGCTGAGTGTGGACGCACCACACAAGCAGAAGTGTAGAGATGGAATGGAGGAGAATCAATGGCAGCAAGGAATGGACATGTGGAAAAGGTGACAACAGTTAGAATTGCGTGCTGACAGCATCGGATACACATAAAGAAGGACATGAACGGAGCAAAATGGGGTAGCCTAGGAGTGCAAAGTTTGTCAATATCCTCAAGCACTGGGTAAACGTGCTAGTGGTTCAATTAGTGTATTTATAAATTTATTTCATCAAATCAAAATTAGCACTCCCAGTCTCTGTCCAGAGAAGGACACACGGTGTATTAAAGAAACAAGTGGACAGCATGCTGGCGAGGTTCCACGTGTGGACGTGATTGTAGAAAATGCTGATAATTTAAGCTCAAACCAGAAATTGGTATAGTCCCTACAAGCTAATCAGCAATAACAACACATACTTTAAAAGGCTAGAGAAATTTTTTTCATTGAGAAAAAATACATTTACGTTTACATCAGGATACAAATTTGGAAAGAAAAAGAGAAAAAAAATTCTTCTTATTAGGTAACATCAATTCTAGAGAAAATTCTTTGGTTTATATTCATTTACAGTCACTTTTGATTCAGTTCAATAAGCTGTAATGACTAACCACATGTCTCCACTGCACTTTACTGGAAAAAAGAATCTCCCACAGCCACTAGGATCACCATAAAAACAAAACAAACACCAAACTCACCGCCCTCGAGTCAACTCCAACGCCTAGTGACCCTATAAGACAGAGCAGAACTGCCCCATAGGGTTTCCAAGGAGCAGCTGGTGGATTTAAACTGCAGACCTTTTGGTTAGCAGCCATAACACTTAACCACTATACCACCAGGGTTTCCAAACTAATAGAGGAGGTTGTTATTTGAAACTTGAGTGGACTCTTTCCACCAAACAGACTAAGCAGTTCCCATAAGGCCAGGCAGCTAGGCAGGGCTTTCTCTGGTGGGGCTTGGGGACCAGAGATTGTGTGGGGGCTTTCACTAGCAAGACTAGAAATCAAGGTCTACAGGGTTTCCTTATTTCTCCCTTCCTTCATATTCCTATATGTAAGTGAAATATTCTGGCAGTGTATTATCGTGGGAAACACCCAGGGCTTCTGTCTGACAGGCCTGGGTTTAAATTCTCACTCTGCCACTTGCTATCTTGGGCAAATTACTTTTCCCGTCTGGTTCCCAGTCTCTTCTTTTTGGAGGGGCATGGTGAGAACTCCCCAGGGAAGCGGTGAGAACAGAACCTAGCACTTGCCAGGTGCCTGCAGATTGCTCAGCAAACGGGAACTATAATGATGGGAATTATTATTAGTATACATTTCATGGTGCCCTTGTTTTTGAACTAGACCAAAATGGACTGTAAACAAACACAAATCTTCTATAAAGCTGTAATAATTGCCTGAATATTCCAACACAAAACCCACCTCAACATTTTGAATTTGCAATGAACGAGATGCAAAGTAATCACACTGCATGACTTGGTGGTAAAGAAAAATCCTATCAGAAGACTCTAAGCATGTTTCAGCTTTCGGTACAGCAGTGAAGGTGGACTAAGCTGCACCACGTTTGTATGTATACTACGCCTTCCGCGTTTGTTCGCTAAATGACACCTGTTTCTTCCGATAATGATAACTTGTACAAATTAAACAACATTCTCCTAATTTTCGTATAGTAAGAGTCTAGCCTCACTTACCGGGCGTCCAAATTCCAGTTCTGAAAAGAATTTATACCAGGGTTCATTTTCTAAATCTATGTCATCTGGATTTATGCGATCAGTCTGGAGCAGATGTGAAGGAAAAGGGAAGGAAAAGGTACACTGAGCTGGGTGAGGGAGATGCTGTGTGGTCTGAAAACACACGCGCGCACCACACGCAGACATGCGCCAACTCTCGCCCAACGAATCTCAGCAGGAGGGAACAAAGGAAATGCAGCAAAACCGGTAAAATGAAGACACGGAGGCGAGAGCTTCAGTCGCTCCGCTCAGGCCCCACGCTACCTCCGTCCACCATTTCTGATTTTCTTCCTAGCTGACTGCAAAATCTGGAAAACTCTTTAGGACGGCGAGAATGGGCGTTTATAACACACCAGAGGATTAGAATAATCCCCACCGAGTCACCAAGCAGCTCTTCTGGGTGCGTCACTCCATCGTCCCTGCCCTCGTTGGTGGGTAGAAGTCCCGACAGGTAAGTCTAAACCGATTTGCATACACAGAAGATTTGCTCAGGTGCAGGAGTGCAGGGAGCTGGGGGTGGGGAAAGGGACAGGTGGGAAGGGATATTAGGTGGGGGAGTGAGTGGGGTGCTGGGAGACAGTTAAGGGTCTATTGGCATGAAGACCCTGGGATCTATGTGAGAAAGAAGAGGGTCAGCATGGTGGGGGTGCGTAAGTAGACAGTCTCCTAGCCTCTGCAGAACAAGAGCCACACCTGAACTTCCCGACAGGTGTTAGAAAAAGCCAAACAAGGAGGAGCTCACCGGGATGGGAGAGAGAGCCGGGGTGTACAAGCTGGGTGTGGGGATGACTCTCCTGGGCGGAGGGGAGGGGCTACCAGTTACTTCTCGGTTGGGTGGAACCGAAATAGGCTTCCGGCGGGGCTCCCTTTGAACAGGTGTCAGAGTTGTTGGGAGAGGGGGCTGTAATAAAGAGGGGGGAGGCAAAAACTGATTCATCAGACAGAGCTTCTCTATGGAACCCAGAGGACACCAGCCAGCAGTGCTTGGCCCTGCCTTAGGCTCGGCGGAGGAAGGGTTTCAGAGGTGACCCCAACGTCTTAGGGAGATCCTGGGCCCCTGCGATGGTCTGAGATTGGGAGTCTCAGAAACTGAAGAAAAACCAGTTTTATGAGACACCCCAAGTCACCTTCCATCTGCCTACTGTGAGCTAGAGAAGTAGGACGGGGGTTAGGTGTTGCACCTTCCTGTGGATGGCTGGGGGCAGGAAGGGAGGGATAAAACCCCGCCCTGGTGTGGTGACATTCTAATTCAGACAAAAAGCCAGTTTTTACAACTGACCTGCTCCCCACCAGGGCTTTCTGAATGTTGCATAAATGGAAAAATACAGTTTGAGAAAATATATACAATTACTTTAGGAGAAAAATCAAACACACAGCATTTACTTTACCAAGCGATATCCTTAATGCTTTCAAATAATACGTGCCTAACTAGAGTGATTCAGGCTGTCCACTTTATATTAAAACAGGATACTTAAACTACTACATGTGGGTTATTACTTCCTTGATCATTGTCACAAGACACTAATTAAACATGGCGCAATTGGACAGTATGGTATTTTAAATCTGTAAGTTACTAATTAAACATGGGGCAATTGGACAGTATGGTATTTAAACCTGTAAGTTATTCACCCTGGCAAAGACAGGACGGGCAACTCCGCCAACATATTCCAGGAGGGCTGATAAGCACTCTCGGCTTCCAAGGACTTCCATGTCATTCCAATTCTTAAAGAAGCCCAAAGACTTCCATGTCATTCCCTTCCAATTCTTAAAGGAACCCAAAGACTTTGGCTGAGTAACTACATCTCAGCTTTGGAAGAAATGCTCTATAACCTTCACAGTGTTGGGAGTTTGAGCTATTCCGTATTCAAACAAAAGCCACTATTTTGACAGGAAGTTCCTGGTGTTTTATTGACTTGTTGCATTTACAATAGTTTCGTTAATGTTTCTCAGTCTGTATTTAATAATGACTTATATCCAAAGTATTTTTAGCAATGTGATTTTATTTCAATATTTTATAATAAAAGATTATTGTGGTAACTACAGACAATGATAGAAAAGTTTGAGACATCCTAACTAAATAGTGAAAGGGTCTAAGTTATCTGAAGTTTGTAGTGATTATAAAGACTGCAGTGAACCTGGGAAGTGCTTATGATGGGATACTAAGTGATGTAAGCAGAATGTAAGCAGGCAATTGTACAATAGTTACAATGGTATTACAAAGCCTGTGTCTGGATGAGCACAGTAAGGAAAGACATGGAAAAGACCGCACGGTGTCCTGGTACTGAGATTGTTCTTTTCATTCTTTGAAACATTATTTTGCTTTACTTATAATGTTATTTGTGTAATAAGGAAAAATCAGGAAGAACATCCTACTATTCTGTATGGGAAAATCTTGTATGAATCTTGAGATAGTTCTTTTATTTATGCCAATATTGCTTTAGTTTACATCTCAGAAATATAGTGAAATTGACAGAAAAATTCTAGTAAGTAATTTGCCATTTTCTGCTTAATTTACAAATTTGATTAAGTTTATATTTGATTCAGTAGTTGCAAAAGCATTAATTGAGATTTTGATAATAATAAAATATTGTTTTTTTCCCCAGTTATAATTTAGATCCTGAGAGTTGCCACATTTAACTCTTTCATGGAATGGTTTTGTTGGAACTGGTTTTTAGGGTAACTGGCATTAGAAAGACTATTGCAGCAAAGTGGTTTTGTCTACAGAGGCATAGTAATTCTTCAACAGGAAAACCAACTCCTGAATCTCAAGTTTCGTATATTCTAATGCTACATACTTAATGATATTATTAATTCTTGACTTTATGACTTCTGCTTTCAAGTACAGTATTTTGTTTTGCTAAGGGGAGATAGAAACTTCCAAAAAAACCCAGTGCCGTTAAGTGAATTCCAACTCATAGGGACCCTATAGGACAGAGTAGAACTGCCCCATAGGGCTTCCAAGGCTGTCATCTTTATGGAAGCAGACGGCCACGTCTTTCTCCTGTGGGGTGGCTGGTGCATTCCAAGCAACAACCATTAGGTTAGCAGCCAAGTGCTTAACTACTGCGCCACCAGGGCTCCTGAAACTTCTCTTAGAGGAAACAAAATTGTTCAAAAACCATGTTGAACGACAGAGGGCAGCCAATTTCCTGAACAAGTATATTTATCAGCTATTGTACCTCCACTTTGATTTCCCCCTTAAGAAAATGTATAATAAATGGATATACTAAGTCCTGATCTTAGAAATATATTTCCATGATAGAAGGTGGAAAAGGGAGCAAAATATCTGTCATTCTGTCCCATACCTCAGAATGGCAATTTTTCATTAATTATGACTTTGCAGATTAAATAGTAAATTTATATCACAATGGGCAACTATCTAGAATCCATGCTGGTGGAAAACACAGAAAATAATGACCGCTGGGAATTATCTATCACTTTGGAATGTAATGAAAGGCACACATTTGAGCAGAGCCTTTATGGTCAACAAAGCAATTGTAACTGGCAGAACTAGAATTTTCACTTTGCTGTGGTTGACCTGTTGAGTCCCTTTAGGCATGCAACAATTAAATGTATTATGCAGCCATCCAGATCTACTGCTAAGGCACACAGAGGCTTCCCAACCCCCCGAGACAACATACAGATGGTTAGCCTTGAGACGCATATCCATGCGAATCAGCTTGCTAATTCAACACTTCCCCTGGGTAACGTGGAAGTTCCTTTGAGTTTGGCGCTAATATTAACACCTAGAAACTCATTTAAGAAACATGATTAAAAACCAGCAAACCTTTGCTGAAAACTTACTTTGTGTCATCAGGGTAAGAGGGCGTGCTTAAGAAAAACTAAAACTATAAATCAGGCAGGATCCTTATTTAAAAGCTACTGAGGGTGAGCCATTTTAAAGTTTTGTATGTTTTCTGCAAGTTAAAAATACTTGGTTGCCATGTGGCTATAGAAATTTTACTGTTCTTAGTATTCTCATTGTAGGCTTATAATTTCGATATGTTGTTCCAAACAACAAAGAGGTGCCAATGTCATGTGGTTCTTCAAATTTTATGCTCATTAAATTCTAAGCTTTAATGGCATTGGCTGCTATGTTTTACACTTATTGTGATTCTACACCTTGCTGTTTGGGGCAGTCTTTATGGCTGAAACCATCAAACGAAACTCCTAAAATTTTTACAGCTTAAGTTTTGAGTGACAGTCTTCATTGGTAAAGAAGCTGAAGTTCCCTGAAGTTTTAAATTGCATTAATCTCTGCACAGAGTTTTCACTGATTGTTTCCTTCTGCTTTGATTGTTCTGGGCTGGTTTGGTTATCATAGGAAATGGCAGCATCTTCATATTATTTTCTATTTAATCAAGCATAGAGAGATCCTCAACATATGCCTTTTTTAAAAAAAAAAAAAAAACATGGCTCACTTGCAAACATATCTATTTCAGACGGGATGTAGAGTTTTTATTAATATTGTGTAATTATCTCATGAATCACATTACAGTGTGGAAACATGGTCCTGACTTGTGGTTCTGTTCAGTTAAAGATCCACTCCTGGTGATTGCCAGGGACTTCTTTAGATCCAACACTAGGCAATGAGCAACCCTTCTAAATCTGCACGCAAATGATTATCTATGAGCTTCAAATTGCATTCACTTTTATTTTCCTGTTAAAGAACCTATTCCTAAGGAAGACAGGGATCTTTTTGCCAGGGTCTGGGGGACTTTAATTCAGATAATGCTGCCCCCTCTGGCCCCTGCGTACCCTGGGAATCATGGAATTAGTGAATTACGACTGCTAACAGCAGTGTGTCAAACCTCTTGTGTGTGCTTTGACTGAGACCTACTGTGCGTTTTGACACTAGAAATGTACTGACTTCAGAGATAAGCGGCAGAATTGGGATTCCATCTCCCACCAGCTTTACCCACTAACTAGAAGGGTAAAACCTGTATTCATTCATTCACTTATTAAGTCAACGAGTATTCGCTGAACACCTACCACGTGCCAGGCATTGTGCTAGGTGCTGGGATTACAGCTGGTGCACCAGACATGGTCCCTGCCTTCAAGGAGCTTAAAGTCTAGTGAGGGAGCCAGACAAGCAAACGGTGTGACCGGGCTGTGGTGGGGAACTGCAGGTGCCAGAGGCGTACAGCAGGGGGCGCTTTAAACCTAGTGTTGAGGACCAGAGCAAGGAGTCCTGGGGGAAGTGTGTCCAGGCTGAGATATGAAGGATAAGATGGAATTTTCCATGTGAAGGGAGAGGTAGGGGGGAGCTTCCTCCTGGCAGAGGGAACAGTCTGTGCAAAGGTCCAGCAAAGAGGAACCGAAAGCTCTGGGTACAGCTAGAACATAGAGAGGGAGGTGAGGGAATGAGAAGAGAGACGATGCTGGAGGAGCCAGCTTGGGCCAGATCACAATGGTGTTTTGTAAATTATGTCAAGGAATCTGGGTTTTGCCCTAAGGGCGGAAGGAAGCCAGTAGGAAGTTCTGAGCAGGTGGTTTATACAGAACATCCTGGAGATGGTGTGGAGACTAGACTGGAGAATTAGCTAAATGAAAGAGGAGGCTGTCATTGGCTGTCATAGGTAAGAGGTAACTGTGGACCGGATGAGAAGAGTAGCAACAGCATTTCTCCTAGGGGACAGGACTTTGAGATCGTAGGGGGAGAAGGAGGATCCAGGATGGCACCTAGGAAAATTGGGCGGATGGTGATGTCACCTAGGAATTCAAAAGAGCAACACAGAATTACTGAACTATTGTGTATAATTAGCATAAAACAAAATATGAAAAGAGGAAAGGAATGCTCACAAACCACCTTGGAGTAAAAAGACATGGGAGTTCATTTGTAAAACCTTTAAATCCATAATGTTGTCCATTTGCTATTACCTGGCACCTGTTTAGCAAACCTGCTCTTCATCTTCTATGCCTTGTGTGTTCAAGGCCCTCAGAATCTTGTATAAACTTTATCAATACATAGCAGTCTCTGCAACCATTGTGTACTTAGCCCTCTGGCTTTTTTTTTTTTTTTTCTTATTTATAGAGGCAATCATAATTAATTCAGGATTGATTATAAAAAGAAATAATAGACTAGTCCTATTATTATAATAATAAAAGGAAGGAGCCCTGGTGGCACAATGGTTAAGTGCTCAGCTGCTAACCCAAAGGTTGGCAGTTCGAACCCATCCAGCAGCTCCATGAGAGAAAGATCTGGTGATCTGCCTCCATGAAAATTACAGCCCAGAAAATCCTATGGGGCAGTTCTACAGGTACTCTTGTCTCATGGGGTTGCCATGAATTGAAAATCGACTTAACATAATAAAAAGAGCCCAACCAAAATGATGCAGATGACTAGCTCAGATCACGTCTTTGCATAAGACCAGACCTCAACAAAGTTGTTTAGGAGGGAAAAAAGTTTTAGACCTTCTCATTTCTCCATAGGATATCAATTCTTATTTCCTTCGAACTTTCCCAGTTCCTTCCACTTCTCTCTCCCTGTCTTCTTGGTCTGTGGCCACAGAGACCGGTCCAGACCCAATTCCCTGACAAGACCCCTGGTCCAGATCGTTCTGTTCTTCTTAGAACCAACACAGAAAGGTAGGGTCCTTTGGGTGTGCCTCCATTTTACCATATAGGAGGTTGTCTACACGGCACACACAAAGATCTAGCACTGTATTTACAGTAAATGATAGACTCTAAGTTCCTTGAGGTAGGGACCGTGTCTTGTTTACCAGGGTGTCACTAGCACCTGATCCAATGTCTGGCGTAGAGTTTTTACTCAATCAATTTTGTTGAATGAGTAAATAATAGAAATAGTAGAGGTATTCTGATGGGGAAGCTTCTAAATCAATCCTGTTTCCTGACACCACAGCTGCCAATGTATTCCATTACAATTACAAGATTCATGATCCTAAGCATCTCATAAATTATTACAATAATAACTAAAGTTTTGTTAACTACATTTAAATCTGAAATTCATATGTTGCACAGTTATTTGGCTATTTTCCACTTTATGCAATGATGAAATCATAGTTCACTCAATTCTCACCCTAGAGGTTTCAGAATATCTCTGTATCATGATATTCAATCATATAACCTATAACTTTGCAATGGAGCCTTCAAGTCAGTGGTGCTCCTGTTTTTTTCTTTCAATTTTTCTGAAGTCCTGTTACTCTACAACATACAAGTTATTTGAAGAAAGACAAAGAGGGCTTAGCTAAATCTCATGTATGAATTATGGGATTACAAGGTTTTTGAACACACTTCTCAAGAACACAACCACAAATATAGGGCTTCCTAAACTAAATCAAGAACAGTCATGTTGGGTGTGGTGAGCAAGGGTTTCCAAATCATATTTCAGGGTGGAACTTGCATTATACATAATAGTGTCATTTCTTGGATACACTCGAATAAACTAACAAAGAAAACTCTCTTTTTCCTGGTCACTGACATCTAAAATTCTTTTAAGGCCAGGACAGGGGTAAAAAGCAAATGACACCAATCCCTTCTCTAGAGCAGCATTTGATGGAGGTGCAGAGGGACTGTCGAGTCTCCAAGATCATGAGCCACTGATCTAGGAGGAGAAGCAAAGAAGGGCTGGGGGAGGAGGGGGGAATAAAAATCAAAGAGGGCCAAGGAAGAACCAATTTGTTATGTTAATTGCACTTTGAAAAGGCAAATGATCCCCCCCCCAGGTTTATGTGTCTTTTTGTTTGCATATAATTAAATTAATAATTGGAATAAAAATACTGCAAAGTTAAATATAATCTTGATCCATTAGATTGACAACCAATCAGGATGCTTGAGGCTTGGTGACCTGAGAGGGATTTAATAAGAACCAATTAAAACAACTCGTTATACAAGGCAATTGGAAACTCTTCCCTAAGTCAAGGAAATATTAAAAAAACCAATATGGAAACCAAGGGAGGGAACTGTCTAGGTCCATGTATACTGGAGAAATGTAGAATAGCTGTTAAGTGCTGAATTATTATTATTTTTAATTAAACTCGTGGTCATGTTTAAGTATGGCCACAGTTACATGCAAGTTAGGGACAATATATTAGAAAGTGCATCTTCCAATTCAGAGACAAGATGCTCAAATCATGATACAAAATAAATAGATCATTTGTAAATGATGCCAAATAAATCAATTACCATTGTGACAAAAATTGCTAACAACATTAAATTCGGGTTTCTTTGGGAACTCAGGAGACTGGAGAACGGGCATACTATTTAAGGGACAAGTGCTTACCGGTCTTTCATGCTGAAGAATCGATGACTTCCCTGGTTCATATTCAAAGATACTCCTTGGCTCAGAACGAAATTTTCTTGTGTCCACTTTTCTGTCTGGGGGATCCCAGTCATGCCTGGGAGCACACAACAAAATGCACATTGACAGAATTTCTTCTGCTTAGAGCGGTTGGGTAAGACCACTCACTGTTTTCAAAATCAGTTTTAGTATAATTTAAACACTCTCTCAGGATAACAAGTTATTCTGTACCATGTTTATGTTTTGTTTCACACAAATGATTTTAAGAAAGCCATTTCATATCATATTTCTCTTCATCTTTTTCATACAATGGCTATCCTACTGTGGACTCAACAGCTCACATCAGGGATTTGTAGACATGCAGTGGGTGGCCCGCTGGTGAACTCCCGGGTCACTAATAGCAGCCACCCGTTTGTGTTTAGAATAAGTGGCGGTATGCTCCGTTAAGCCATATGAGCTTATCCCACCACTCTGTGACCTCGCATCCTTGATCCAAAGTGACAAGGAGAGATGCATATGCCATGCTTGATCTTGTCTATCTTGCAAGTGGCATCACCGTTTCTCTGTGAAAAGTACAAAAGTATCACTTGGCTTGCCACACGCAGGAGCAAGCTGTGTGGCATGAAAGATCCTTCTGGGTGTCACCTTGAAACACCAGAGCCAAACATTTATCTCCTTGTGTATGCTGCCTTGGAATAAGCTATTTCTCTTGAACTAGTATCTTCCAAGAGGCTGTCAAAGAAAGACTTAGAAAGTAAAGCTTTTGCTAGCCAAAAGGCCTGCAGTTCAAACCCACCAGCCGCTCCACGGGGAGAAAAGACCTGGTTATCTTCTCCTGTAAAGATTTCAGCCTAGGGAACCCTATGGGGCAGTTCTGCTCTGTCCTATATGGTCGCTATGAGTCGGAATCAACTCAAGGGCACACAATAACAAAAACAATTACAAGAGACAGAAGAATTAGAGGCAGGTCCTGGTTTTCTACTAAATTGATGGGTGAAATTCAGCAAACTCCTTAACTCTTTTCAGTCATACTGTTTTTCACCTCTAGAACACAGTAAAATTGTGTCCCTCCTTCCTTACAGAACTATTTTGAGAATTACATGAGATGATGCATATAGAAGCCACCTGGAGCTTTCTAAGGGGTTATCGTATTTCTTAATAGAGAAATGTATTTCTATTAAAGACATAGGAAAGTTATACATTTAAGTCTGAGTTCATTTTTGGTTCTGTTTTTTATGGCAGCTATAGCATTTTGTGTCGAGACAACTATTTCTCAAATTTTAAGCCGTAACACTTTCTAAACACATAAATAATCATGAAAAGATTGGTACTAAAATGAGAATTCTTTTAGACATAATGTGTGCCAATGTTCACGGCATCCTGTGCCAAGTATTATCATCAGTTACCCTTGATGGCACCTTGGGGCATTGACTCTTACTTTCCTGGGTGGAGGTGAGAGAAGGATGCCCATCCCCAGTATTAATGCTGTAATTTTTATATCCTTGTTTATTAATTGCCAGTTTACTTGGGCGTTGCATGTTTTTCAGAGCTGAGTTTGAATCTTGCCTCGGACAGACTAGCTACATGAGTTGAGCGAGTTGCTTCAATTTTCCAAACTGCAGTTTCTTTCTCTCTAAAGTCGGTGTAAAATAGAACATATCTCACTGGGTTGTTCTCAGAATGAAACGCTATAATACAAGGGAAGTGTATAGCCTAGTGCATGGCTCATAGTGGGCTCTTATAAAAGGTCACCTATAAGTAGGACTGTTAGTCATAATCCTAATAAAAAATAACACAGTAAAAGTATGCTTGTAAATTTTTATTTTAGTGTGAACAATTTCTAAAAAAATATTTCAGTGGAGAAATCAATATTAGCATCATCTTGAAAGGCTGGTGGAAAATAGGTCACAGATAGACCCTTATTAACTAATGCTTTATTTATGATTTATGAATAATCTTCCCTGCTTTCACAAAGATATTTTTGTGTACCAGAGGGAAAATGTGAAATTATTAATAAACCTAACATTTCAAATCTGAGGAAACTGACAATTAACCGCATGGTCTCTAACCCGCTATACCGAAAGAAATAAAACCCGTCGCCACCGAGCTGACTCTGACTCATGGTGGTCCATGTGTGTCAGAGTTGATTGTGTTCCACAGGGTTTTCAATGGCTGATTTGTCAAAAGTAGATTGCCAGGCCTGTCTTCTGAGGCACCTCTGGGTGGATTTGAACTGCCAAACTTTCTATTAGCAGCTGAGCATGTTACCTCTTTGTATCACCCAGGTATAACAAAAGAAGTACATGTCAATTATTTCCATGTATTTGATTTCTTAAATGCATTTACTGATCAAGAAATAGAGATTGTGCCTACGTGACTTCAAGTCTAACTTCGTTCACTACAATATTATGGACCAAGATTGTGAAAGCGTTTGCTACAATATCAACAGAAGAAGTCAACATGGTCCGTGTATTGACTAATACGATCACGCACACCTTGTCCCTATGAGGTCAGCATTGATTCTTCCACCAAATGCCATGTGGCCTTATTTTTATTCTAAGCTGTATATAGGCCACTTTGGGGGAAATGCCTTACTTTTCTGTTGAAGACCGCTCTCTTGGTCGAAGTGGTGGGACTGGAGGTGGAACCGGGGGAGGCACAGGTGAGGACGTGTCCTTGAAGGTGTGGGCGCCATTGTCGGAGTGGCTCTTGGAGAGAGGCCTGTAGGTCTGGGTCTTGGCCGCAGGGTGTGACTGAGCACCGTATGGTGGGTTGTACAGGCCTGTCACAGAAAACAGACCCAGAATGAAACGGCATTTTAAAAGTGCATTAAATACATGTACCTCTCATAAATACCCAGTGATTTTAACAGAGTTATTACCATTTTACCAACATTATTATCAATAAGTATATTCACAATACATATATGGGACTATATATTTTTAATTAATTATTATGACTTTATCATTCTTTATTAATTCATTCTATACATGAGCACTGATTACAATAAATTTTCATTAATTACTTGGAATTAGTTATAATTCAGACTGCTGTTAGGCATAAATCTACAGGTGCTCAGTAAATTTTCTCCTTTCTAACATAAACTAACGACATACTTAAAGTCTAAGAACAACATTAAAATCGCTTTCGAGAACTGTTTCCAAACATCTCCCAATACTTTAAAAGCTACGATTTACATATGACAATTGACATGTTAATTACAATCGAACAAATATTGAACAAGTTATGTGTATAAGGTGCTGGGCAGGGCACAAGAAAACGTAAACCCTCAACAAGCTTAGGGTGCGCTCAGGGAATGAGCTGCACGTGGAATGATGAGGAGAGATAACTGGTGGTCTGTGGTACAGGCCAGATGAGAAAACGCATGTTAGGAACGGAAGGATGTGAGAAGATGCTGGATTGATCAGAGAAGCCATCATGGAACCAGTGGGATTACAGCTGGCCCTGAAGGGTTAGTCTGAGGCTTTGGCGGAAGAAGGTAGCAGGGATGGCACAGGAAAAAAGCAGGAGAAAAGAGCAAGACACAGACCAGCGGGAGGTAGGGTCAGAAGAAAGGAGAGTCAGTCTAGTTGCAGCTGCTTTGTTGATTAAATGATAAGACTAAATTATCTCTGAAGGGCTGTACAAGGTAATATATACTGCCGTTCAATTTACTAACTTATGTGATGCAAACTTCAACATTAAAAAAATTATAACAATTGTTGAAGGCCTGCGACTTCTCTCTTACGGGCTAATTCTCGCTCATCTGCTTCTCCGGAAGGTCTATGCGAGTTTGCACCACAAAGAACGAGAGCAAAGTCAGCACTTAACTGTTCTTGCTGCCCTTCCACGGGTCAGCACTTACTGTTTTGCTGCCCTTCCACGAACAGACTTTAACTTTAGAGCTAAGTAAAGGAAGTGGTTTGGTGTGCCTATCCCCCGGAATAATCAAAACCAATACGATCCCAACTCATGGCGACCCCATGTGTTTCAGAGTAGGACTGTGCTCCATAGGGTTTTCAGTGGTGGCGATCTTTCAGAAGTAGACTGCCAGGCCTTTGTTCTGAGGCCCGACTCTTGGTGGATTCGAACCACCAGCTCCTAACCACGGTGCTGTCCCCAGGAATGATAGTTGAAGGAAACATCTCAGTGGGCTCCTGCTATCCTCTGGGGGAGCCAGGCCCTGCAACCAGGGGCCTTGCAGCTTGCTAAGCCTGTTATATTTGTTTTTCTTCTTTGGAGACAAGTGGCAAAATCCCTCAGAGGAAAAGGCCTGAGTGCTGGTCTTTGGGTATCAAGGAAGGGAGAATCTCTTGCATCTCCACAGCCAGAGTGGCAAATGGACCCCTAAGGGGAGGTCGAAGCTGAGCAGATAAGATAGCTAAGGAGGGGAGATAAGAATCTGGGCCTGGGGCCTGCTCTAGTGAAAGGGAAAAATCAACTGTGCACCAGGCCTGAGGTGGGGGTTGTGTGACTCCCTGATGCCACATTCTGGAGAAAGACACACAGGGAAACATTTTTTAGGGGTCCCCTCGCTCCATCAGCTTGCAGACGACTTTATAAGATGCCAACATACTCAAATACAAGTGGAAATGCCTGTAACTGAAGCCATTCCATTACGACCACTGGCAACTGTGAGTCAGAAAAATGGCCCCCGCAAAGAGAAATATTTTTTTTCCCCTCTCTTTCAATGAATGGTAGCATTCTGGAGCAAAAGCATGGATCAGGTCACACAATACTTTGCTTGACTTGTTTTTTGAGAAGTGTATCTGAAAGATCTTACGCAACTGTAATCACTCTCTGTCTACTGATAAAAGGAGATCTTTATCTCATTTTGTAGCAGGTTACACGGTGTTCTTTCTCGCTGTCCTTCACGCTTGGGTTAAACCAACAGTGGGAACGAATGAGATTAAACAGTATTAGTTCTCATTTCCATGAGAAAAGATCAATCCTTTTGTTATGCATGCTCTGAGAAAAGGAAAAAAGGAAAAAAAAAGGATCCTCCTAATCATATAAACTGAAAACGTGAACCCGTGCTCAAACTGAGTGGTTACAAAGTGCCTGTGTAGTTCTTGCAGACATCGCCAAGCAGAAAATATTCACTGCAAGCAAGGAAACCCGTCCTACCTGCATTGTGTGTATAGGGAGTATTATACATGTCTGTGTCATCATCTGGAAAAGGAAACATAAATATCATGGTGATACAGGTCCTGTCACCATATCACGTAACAAGACAGCAGAACTTCGAGAAACCGCAAAAATTTGTTAGAAAATCCACGTATTTTCAAATACTGCTTTTTGCGGGGCCTGTGCAGCGGGACCCCTCTTGTCTGTGACACACTTGCCTTGCTGCCCTCTTCGCTGCACACACCGTCCTTCCCTTTTTCTCACTTCCGCTCGCAGCCTTCTCTTCTGCGTCATACCTGCCCTTTGCTGTTGTCAGTAGCACTGAGCTGATTCCGACTCACGGCGACCCCATATGTTACAGAGTAGAACTGCTCCATAGAGTTTTCTTGGCTGTAATTTTAAAGGAGGCAGATCGCCAGGCCTTTTCTTTTGTGATGCCTCTGGGTGGGTTCGAACCGTCCACCTTTAGGTTAGCCGTCCAGTGTGAACTGTTTGCGCCACCTTAGGGACCTTCCATTTCCTTTGGTAACTGCTTTAAAGACCTCTTGTCAACTGCACTGAGCAGGCGTGGTCAGCCCCACCCGTCCTCACTCTCCTGCTAAGGAGGCAACATGTGAGGACACAGGAGTCACAAGTCTGCTCAAGCAGACAACTCAGTGGTTCAGACTGTGGAGAGGGAAGAACCAGGGGTAAGACCAGAGCACCTGGCATTCCTCTCGGGAGCACCCTGAAGAGTTTTCCTGGCAACTCAGGGGGGACGCAGGGGCACAGGTGTCAGTGACTTGAGGGGAGATGTAAGGACAACAAGGAGGGCATTGAAAAGAAAGGGGGGGACATGATGTTTACGAGGATCTTAACATTCTGTGAGAACAAAAACCATACACAAGAGATCCTTCAGCCCACAAGGACCTGATCAGAAACCAGAAAGTCATACGTACCAGGCTTGTGTACCATGTGAATTTGCTTGAACATTGTCTTGTACCAGTCCTTCGGTCTGTCGACCGTCTGTAGAGGAGAATGCCCAGCAGTTACAAAACTGGTCTCAAACAAACATTGCTCTCCAACGGTTTTCTCTGTGTATTTTATCTTTCCAAATAGTAGATTTCTATTCCTTGATAAATGTTTCTGACTCTTTCCCGTTACATGACGACCACATCAGCACTTTATCCAGGAATGTATGCAGCTGATAAACACGTTACCCTTGTTTGTGGTTAGGATGAGCTGGAATATTAAATGCCTTTTTTTTTTTCAAATCATAACTGCACCTGGCACTAAATAGCTGATATTTGCACAGACTTATTTATATAAAATCCAGTGAATAAAAGTTATAATTGCAGTAGTTTGCTTAACTCCTTTTGGTGATACTTATCATTATTCTTAAAAACTTTTTATTGAATGTTCTGTTCATGGCATTACTTTTAGAATCTACTAGTACATATTTTTGACTCAAGCTGTATTCTGATCATCTTAGAGAAATAAATTTGATATTTAAGAGTCAAAGTTGCTAAAACCTTGAATATGATCCTATTGCTGTTGAGTCGATTTTGTCTCATAACAACCCTATAGGATAGAGCAGCACTGCCCCATAGTTTCCAAGGAGTGGCTGGTGGATTTGAACTGCAGACCTTTTGGTTAGCAGCTAAGCTCTTAACCACTGCATCACCTGGGCTCCCAAATTGCCTTGTTAAATTGTAAGTCCCTTGAGAGTAGAAACTCTCCTAGGTACCCAGGCTTTTGCCAACAGAAACAATAAACCCTAGTGGAAAAACCGTGAACTTGATGTCAGGTCAACCTAGATTCAAATCTTTGTTCCCTACTTACTGCTTAATACTTCTTAGCTGAATGAATCCGATAAGTTAACGAAACCTTTTTGAGCCTCCGTGTTATTCTCTATAGAATAAAATAATTATACCTACTTCTTGAAGTGGTGCAGAAATTGAATGAGATAATGTATGTGAGAGGGTCTAGAACAGTGCCTGGAATATAACAGATGCCCATTTAATAATAACAGTAGGGGAACCTCGAATATTTGTAGAATAATGAATGAATCTAGGTTACCAAGTGAAACCCTGCCTTACGGCATACCTGTGAAATCTAAACATGTGCTTTTATGATCATAAGTAAAGACTTTGCCAGGCAAGGCCTTTACCTTAACTCTTCCAGAAGCTATTTGGAGAAGACACTCGATGACTCTGTGTACGGTAACTAAATATTCTAGATTTTCCAAGACACTTCTCTTGATTTAAAATATTCTGCTAGGACTGCCACAAGAATACCCTTGTACTTGTTAGACTGAGCTTCAGTTTAGATTTTATATCCTGATTTTTCTTTCAGAATGTGGTCATTACGTTTTCCATCTGAAAATGAGGGCTTTGTGCTATAGCTAATCTTATTTAGATCTCTGAGAATATATGATTTTTATAATCTCCACAAATATAGACCAACATTAAGGGGAGCTTGACTTCGCTGCCAAATGTCTCTTCATTCACTCAAGCTTCTTTCTGCAGTGGAAAAATTGAGGGGGTTGTAGTATTGCCTGAATATTGACAAAGCAGGAGTCTGGCTGTTATCTGCTGGTTCAGACAAAGCCGCAGAACGCATATCTTTAAGGGGCACTTACAGGTATTTTCTTACAAGATCTATTTTTCTTTCGTTAAGCTTTATTTCCTTCAGAGTATTAAGCAACAGAAAAGAAGACTTATCTCTGTGCAAAAATGTTTCCCACCCATACCTGGACACAGCCAATAGCAACAAGGAAGCCTAATAAGTAAATTATATCACTGTGTATGGCAACGCATCTTGACAGGCAGGATTTTTTCCCACTTGCTGGAGGGCAAATATCAGGCAGAATTTTAGAGTTGGGCCATCTGCTGGCTTTATATGGTGAGTACAGAGATGCCAGGAATCGCCCAGGCCATTGGCAAAGGGGAACATAAAACTGGGACAAGGGACACTAAAACCCTACGTCCCTTTCTAAAAGAAGTACTCTGAGCATTTAAAGTTCCTTTTTAAGCCAGATGATGGCACCTAGTACTGTGGCTGAGAAAACAGAAGTCTCCTTGAATTTCAGGAGTTTTACTTTTGCATGTATCTTTCAAAATAATTTTGGATGGACAATAGCTACTAGTAATTCACTATGCAGCTGTTTTCTGTAATCTTGACTGAATATACCTGAATTTTTACCTTCCTAGAGCTTGCAAAGCAGAGACTTCCAACAAGGAAAAGGCACATTTTCTACACACTTGTAGAGTTACTCTGTTCTGTTTCTGCCCCTTTCTAGCTTTGAAAATTCTCAAACAAGTGTTATATTCACACCAGCAGAAAAGAATCTTGTGTTTCACTTAACGAGCTGGCCTTAAATGACGTAATCTCACGGGACCAGCGCCCCGGCGATTTTTTGTGTTGTGGTTGAGAATGGCAGTAAAGTCTAGCACAGACATCCTAGGTCACACGAGACAGTGCAGTCTGGGAAGCTGCGTCCCTTCGTTAAAATAACTCAAAGGTACCGTTTGTCGACTGTCGGCTTTCTAGAATTTCTGGGTTACTTTGCAAATTTGCGTTTCCTTGGTGTCTGCTGGTTGTCTGCAAGGATGCTGTAATATGGTATATTGAGACTGTAGTGTCTCTGGGGTCTGTGCACTGAGAGGGCAGCCAACGTGAACCAATCTGGAGTCTGAGAATCATCGCTCTCTACGCGAACGAGAAAGAAAAACAAGCCTGGAGATTCTTAGCCTGCTGTGGCTCAGAGGCGGCCTGACTCAACATCTATAAACACAGCTATACTTGGCTGTGCTCTGGAGGGCTGAAACACGGTAAATGTGAATAAGAGAATAGCCTTCTTTGCAGTGCACAGACATTACATAAAAATTATGGCTCCTTATAAGGGACTTGTGGTTGCTTATATTTCATAGCAAAGGAGCTGGCATTAAATGTTGAGTGTGTGTCTGTGGCTATGCATATCTAACCACGCTTTTCATCTGGCAGTAGATAAGAAAGCTATATAAACATGTTAATATTACTTCACTTTCATCAACCGTCTACAACATCTTAGTTTTCTTTTTTAAAAACTAAGAAAGAAGGTCTTTCAGTTTAAGAAATTTATGTCTTCAGGATGAAAAAATGGACCATGTTTACAAGTCCATTGTTATATATCATTTATTGACTTAAACACACACCCAGAAGTCTTGGGTAAAACGCTTTCAGACAGAACGTGTAACTACATACAATTAAGGATTTGTTAATTTGTGTGTCTACCACACTTTAAGTGTCAACTAGGCAAAACCAGTCATAGTATCCTTCTCTGAGATTGCATCTCTATCAGAAAAAACAAAATTCAAATTTAACCTTTCGGGGAGTCAGAAATCCTAAAAAGGAAACAAACGACAAACACCACCACGACACAGAAAATCTTCATAAACGAGAAATATTAGTCACAATCCCTGAGCCTTTTCCGTCGCTTAAATATGACAGCATAGATTTTTAGGACTCCCGGTTAGTCACCCTGCAACGTTCCCACAATCTCATTAGCCTAAAGCCCCAGCAATTGCTACATGGATTTCCTTGTTGGCTTCTAATTCAAACACAGATGTCTAGAACAAACAATTTTAACTCTTCTGTCTGTATACAGAACCCGCAGTGCCCATACAATAAATGCACATTCAGGGGGAGGAGAAGAAAATCCCCATATTTTGTCTCGAGTTCTTTTTGAGTCTTTCCAGTCTTACCACTGTTGTTTTAATATGTCTTTCCCATCCTTTTCCTCTTTCCCTTACGCTCTTCTGCTCCCTAGGTTTGCATTCCAAGGAAGCAGCTCTTGGCAACTCCCCAGCCCTTTACGCTGGTGTTGTCCTTGGACAGGTGTCTCCAGCTAGAGCCCTATTATCGCACCTCCCCCCGTTTCACCTGCAGAGGTGTTGCTGCTCTCATCCTGCTGTTCACAGTCTTCCTTCTCGCCAGCCAGCACAGTCCTTCTGTTCAAGAGGACCTGGTCAGCGAGCAGCTGCCTGCCCAGCTCTCAGCAGTGGCCTCTGCTAGTTCTGCGCTTTGCCAGAAGGGGCTGCCCTGACACGCACAGCAATGCTTTGGCCAGGTTTAAAGACTCAAAAAAAAAAAAAAAAAAAAAAATCCAAACACTTTGGCTTATGGTCCCTGGAGAGCTCTCTGCAGGCATAGCTGAAAAGGGACACGAAAATGTGTATTTTCCTTCTGACAGCTTTTCCCTTCAACGACATTAGTTTCCTACACTCCAGTCATCTCACCTCCCAAGCTCCAGTGTTAACACACATCCATCTCAAGAATCAAATCCCTGGCTTATTTGCAATGCATATGTGGGAACTCAACCCAGCCAACAAATTCACATGTTCTGGCTCCTTCTCTTTTCTCTCCCATTGCCCTGACACCCCTTGGTAGAAGGTAAAAAGCATAGTTTTATCCTGTAAACAAAACTGCAATTTTGATGACTTTTAATTAAAATGGAAGAACTGAGATTGTCACTTAAATATGCAATTATTTTCAGCTGACAGTTCTCTTTCTCTGCCACACACAGCATGATATTCATGAGAACTCAGATGGCACGGAGCACGATCCTCATTATATAAGACCATAGGAATGCACCAAGCCATTGACAATCCGTCCTTTGTACCGTCTGTGCACACCCCCAGAGCCAGTGACGTCACTAGGGGAGGCGGGGGTGCGAGCCGCAGTGGGTGACGCTGTCAGAGGGGGTGACACCAAAATGACTGCCTATAAAATTTCTGTGCAGTGTTTCAGCAGAAATTTATTATTTTTTTAATAAAAATAGCCCTGTAGTTAGTTATAACAACAAAAAACATTTTTCGTAAGCCCACCTTACACGTATCAACATACTTAAAGGCTAAAATGCTATGCTAATGTACTTCTTGAACCTTCTCATGAATTCCGGTCAGAGTTGTTATTATTCCTCAATTACCGTGACCCCTTTGTCTGCACGCGCTACGAGAAAGAACACCTGTCGTTTTGTTGCTGCCAGTGTTTTTATAGTTGCCGATATTGTCACATTTTCTAGAGTTTTAGCTACAATACTGTGGTAATTAGCAAGGAGGGGTGATACCAACCCTTGTGATACCACCGCCCGAGTGACACACAGGCCGGCGTTCCCTACCGTCCGAATTGCCGTGGGGATTCCGGATTCATCCACAGGCCCGATCCCCGGGTAGTGGGGGGCTTTGATGACTGTCACCCTCTTCTCTTCCTCGGAGGACCTGTACAGCGGGATGGAGCTGCTGGTGGTGCCGTCCAGAGACTGCGCATGCTGGGGATACGTCTCGGTGGAATCTGCGGAGAAATGTGGTGAAGTAGAACGTATTCAGTGCGCAAAGAAGCATGAATCAATGGTGCCTGTCCTTGTATATTTATGCCAGCCGTAACATAGAGTCTGCACTTCCATCACCATCTGCTTTAACTCATTGACTTTGAATTTGAGTAACTCATTGCTAACGTGTAGGTATATATTGAACAGGCTTAGAAATTCAAGAACCCTGCCATTTTAGAGAGAAGAGTAAGGGGAAGAGTAACATTTGTTGAATGACTGTGTGGCAGACACTACACTGAGTAAGCACTTTACTTGCACTGTCTCATTTTATCCTCCCAGTAATCTTGGGAGATGGGGGCTGTGGAGGTTCAGTGGTAGAATTCTCGCCTTCCACGTGGGAGACCCGGTTTGATCTTGGTCAAGGCACCTCATGGGCAGCCACCACCCGTCTGTCAGTGGAGGCTTCTGTGTTGCTATGATGCTGAGCAGGTTTCAGTGGCTTGTGCAGACTAAGAAAGACTAGAAAGAAAGGCCTGGTGATCTACTTCCCAAAATTACCCATTGCCATCAAGTTAATTCCAACTCACAGTGAACTTATAAAGTAGAGTAGAACTGCCCTACAGGGTTTCCAAGGAGTAGCTGTTCTTGTTAGGTTCTGAGTCGGTTCTGACTCATAGTCATCCCATGTACAACAGAAGGAAACACTGCCTGGTCCTGAGCCATCCTCACAGTTGTTGCTATGCTTGAGCCCTTGTTGTACCCACTGTGTCAATCCATCTTGCTGAGGGTCTTCCTCTTTTTCTCTGACCCTCTACTTTACCAAGCATGATGTCCTTCTCCAGGGACTGATCCCTCCTGACAACATGTCCAAAGTATGTGAGACGTAGTTTCAACATCCTTGCTTTTAAGGAGCATTCTGGTTGTACTTCTTCCAAGACAGATTTGTTCGTTGTTTTGGCAGTCCATGGTATATTCAATATTCTTCACCAATACCACAATTCAAAGGCATCAATTCTTCTTTGGTCTTCCTTATTCATCATCCGGCTTTCACATGCATATGAGGCAACTGAAAACACCATTGCTTGGGTCAGGTGCAACTTAGTCTTCAAGGTGACATCTTTGCTTTTTAACACTTTAAAGAGGTCTTTTGCAGCAGATTTGCCCCAGATTTGATTTCTTGACTGCCTGCTTCCACGGGTGTTGATTGTGGATCTAAGTAAAATGAAATCCTTGACAACTTCAATCTTTTCTCCGTTTATCATGATGTTGCTTATCGGTCCAGTTGTGAAGAGTTTTGTTTTTCTTTATGTTGAGGTGTAGTCCATACTGAAGGCGATGGTCTTTGATCTTCATCAGTGAGTGCTTCAAGTCCTCTTCACTTTCAGCAAGCAAGGTTGTGTCGTCTGCATATCGCAGGTTGTTAATGAGTCTTCAGGAGCAGCTGGTGGATTCAAACTGCTGACCTTTTGGTTAGCAGCTGAACGCTTAACCACTGCTCCATCAGAGCTCCCTTCCAAAAGTTAGCCGCTGAAAACTCTGTGGATCACAGTTATCCGATCTGCAACCAATCATGGGGATGGCACAAGACTGGGCAGTGTTTCCTTCTGTTGTGCATGGGTTCACCAGGAGTGGGCCGATTTGATCACAGATAATAACAGTCTTGGGAGAGAATCCATTTATAGCTGAAGGTGCAGAAGCTGAGACAAGTTTACTGTTTCTAAGGCCATAATTTACTTTAATATTATTTTTGTGGTAGTGCTGACTACCATGATTTTAAAGTACAGAAATCTACTTTTAGAACAAAACATACGACTCTTGAGTCAACTACAGCAATTTTTATGAAAATAAGGCAAAAACAAAAAGTGCTTTAAAAAACTGCACATCCAAACTGATACTTAAATGTGAGGCTACGGATAAATGCATGATTTTAAATGATTGGCAATAGTTTTTATTTGAATAGCTATGAGGGCTGTAATATCTTTGCTTTTACTTTAAAATACCACAACCCATGACTTCCTGTCCTTTGAGCATAATTGTCCTAAGGATATAAATTAGATGAAGTTTATCATGTTACTCTCTTCGTGTTATCTTTATGAGCTGCTAATATCCTTTCGTAAGCAACAGAGAGTACATATATTCACTGTATTTTTGTTGTTGTCAGATGCCAGCTCATAGCAACCTCCTGTACAGTGGAACGGAACACTGTACCATCCTCACAGTTATTGTTATGCTTGAGCCCATTGTTGCAGCCACTGTGTCAACCCATCTTGTTGAGGGTCTTTCTCTTTTTTGCTGACCCTCTACTTTACCAAGCATGTGTCCTTCTCCAGGCACTGATCCCTCCTGACAACATGTCCAAAGTACATGAGACGAGGTCTTACCATCCTCACTTCTAAGGAGCATTCTGGCTGTACTTCTTCCAAGACAGATTTGTTCATTCTTCTGGCAGTCCAAGGTATATTAAATACTCCTCACCAACACTATAATTCAAAGGCATCGGTTCTTCTTCAGTCTTGCTTTTTTATTGTCCAGCTTTTGCATGAATATGAGGCAAATGAAAATACCACTGTTTGGGTCAGGTACACCTTAGTCCTCAAAATGATCTCTTGGCTTTTTAACACTTTAAAAAGTTTTTTTTGCAGCAGCAGATTTGCCCAATGCAATATGTTGTTGGATTTGTTGACTGCTGCTGTGGATGTTGATTGTGGATCCAAGTAAAATGAAATCCTTGACAACATCAATCTTTCCTCCGTTTATCGTCATGTTGCTTACTGGCCCAGTTGCGAGATTTTTGTTTTCTTTACGTTGAAGTGTAATTCACACTTAGTGGAATATTCACTATATATTCCACTTATTCTTAGCTCATCAGTATTTATGAAAATCAACATTACTATTCATCTGGCACAATTCATATTATGACTTATTGTCTTTCTACAATTAATTTCAAAATTTTGGGGACCAAGAATGACACTTTGGTTATACTACTTTTGCCATGGTTTGGTAGGTCTGCCACTCAGAAAGTTCTGTTTTTATATGGAATTTAAAAATTCCTGATATTTCAGTGTAGGATTGATTGAATATACACTTGCATATATATACATTCATATATAAAATACCCCCCCAAAACCAAACCCATTGCTGTCGAGTTGATTCTGACTCATAGTGACCCTATAGGACAGAGTAGGACTGCCCCATAGGGTTTCCAAGGAGCAGCTGAGCTCTTAACCACTGCGCCACCAGGGCTCCATGTTCATATATACACACACATATGTATACCATATTTTTATGCAAATAACACACCTTCTATGTTTGTTTGCCAACCTCTCCCTCCTCCCTCGAGGTATTTTTGTAAGGGTGTTAAGCTAGTTTTTAAAATTTTTATGTAAAAATAAATTGGCATAGAGTCTCTTATGAAAATACCTCATGGGAGAATTTGGCAAAGAAACTTAGAAGTTGCATGTTATTTGTGTGAAAATATGATATAAATGTGTTTTTAAATATAAAACATAATAAGTAAGCTTTTAAAAAAATTAACTCATCATTAAAGGATGCCTAGAGATAAGATCTGTGTAAGCTAAAATCCACTGTAATATTTATTACTGCTATTAGTATTATTATGGCTATTTTCAATTTACTTTGCAATAGAAAAGCATTTTCAATCCATTTCAGGTGAAGAATGGATAAGGCTAGGAATATAACTGCTTTATGTGCTATTGTATGTAAGAATAATATTTTTTTCCACACAACACCAAATTAAGACACTGTGATATTTGACTCTGATTAATTTTCCATTTAATTTTCAAAAAGAATTCAAGTGGGCAACAATGATGCTAGTATTTCTATCAAGCAGCGAAAGTTTTTGTGCATCTATTAGGTGCAAAGGCTTCGCCTAAGGAAACCGTATCAATCCTGTCACCACATATGGTCCATAAGAGTCTGTGAACCTATAGCTTATGTAATACAAGTTAGCCCTTTAGTTTATTATTCTCTTATGTTGTCCACCGACTCTCACTTTTGCAGTCTTTTTTCCTCTACTAAATATAAAGTTCCTCTAAGGCAGTACAGTCTCTACTGGCCAGTTGGAATTTGTTCAATGCTAATATAGGGAATTTCTTTCCATGTCCTATAGTTCATATGTCAGATCTACCCATCGATATATTCTAAATCAAAGCCTGTTTGCATGTGTACTATTTTTTGTTTGATGGGGATCAGAGGAGACTGTGTTCATTAAAGCAGGCAATGTGACAAAGACAAGACTTTGATAATAAGAATTTGGGAAAACGTTAGGGCTAAAACAATTTGTAGAGTTTCACTCTATATGTGTGATAATGCATAGCTCCATAAAAAAATCTAGATAGAGTGAGGCCCCATTATAATATCACACCACTATTGACTGACTGCTCAAGGGCACAGTGTTGGTACAAGGAAGTTCTACTTTGTTATACTCTAAAAGGACTTCATTGTAAGAGTCACAGATGATCCCCAGGAGCAGCAGTAGAGAAGGCACAAGCATATTTACGCTTTTCTTCAATGAGTCCCGTGGCTACATTTAAAACGTTATAGTTAGGAAGGTTTTGCTGACCACAGAAGCTGAGTTCCATAACATGCACGCTGGATGGCAATGCAAAATTTTCCTTTGAGTCTAGTAGCATTGTGTTCTTTCAAAACACAAATCAGTGTACTGAAAGAGGAAGGGGAGGTTCTGCCTGGCGTCAAAGCAGGAATGGCAGTCAGTGTGAAGTTCTGGGCTCTAGTCTGTCTCTCTGCTGCTGGTTGGTTGTGGTCAGAGGAGGGGTCCTCCCGCCCTTTCTGAAAGGTGTGGTCTAGTCACCCTGTCCTCAGCCCTCCTCCCTGCTTCCGCTCTCCTGGAGGCCTCTGAGCTGATGAGCAACATGGACATTTTTTCAGCCTGAAATCAGATGATGGTTCAATTTGGACTGGTTTTCAATTTTTGTTTTTAACACTAAGAAAAAAAAAAAACAAAACCCGTTGCTGTCGAATTGATTCCGACTCATAGCGACCCTATAGGACAGAGTAGAACTGCCCGATAGTGTTTCCAAGGAGCGCCTGGTGGATTCGAACTGCCGATCTTTTGGTTAGCAGCCGTAGCTCTTAACCACTAGCCACCAGGGTTTCCTAACATTAAGAAGTATTTATTATTTTCTAAGCTCTCCTAATATATTTTACCGTGTGAAAATGTTTTTGTCATTGTATAGCATAGCTTCTTTACCAGGAGGCTTCAAACAGTTCATGAGCCCCATGAAATTAAATATTATATGAAAGTGCATATGTTCCCTTTTTTTTTTCCTGGAGGCCAGCTGTATCTTTCATCCAATTCTTAACTTCCAAAGAGTTAAGAACGATCTCTACATAAAATTATAGGATCGTCATCAAGTTTTTCTTGCTTGGCTTCCCACTATCACCTCCCTGACTAATGGTCTTTCAGTCTGTTTGAGTAAATTCAGTGTCAAGCCGTTGACTACTTTGTGAGGCAGCCTGTCCCCTTGTTGGACTGTTTCAACTGTTAAGCAGTTCTTCCTTATATTTAGCAAAATAATTTTCTACCACGAATTCTCTTCTACAAAGACATGAGCTGCCTCAAACATGGACTGCATTTATCTGTGGAAAAGTGTTGCATTAATGTTCTCCTGGTAGTGTGGACTCTCCTCCCCCTAACTGGCCATCTTCTTTTCTCCCATAAACATCTGATGGCCTCTTCAGGCTCGGCCACAGATGAAGCCACCATCTTGGAATAGCTGGGTGCCGATTTTCTCCAGTGTTGAATCCTTTGCCCCTAATTCCTCCCCTAGGAAAGGGTCGTGAGATAGTAGGGTATTGAATGCTTCTGCCTCCTTTTTGGAAAGTCACTTTCATGCCTTATATTTTCCTCTTATGGTTTGTAGTTGCCATCCTGATACTGTGATGGAAATCCCGACTATCAAATGACTTACCAAAGGAGCGGCCATGCTGCATGGTAACGCTGGAGCTGAACGAGCCTGGGAGAGAGTAAGCCGAAGGGGAGAACGGCCTTTGGTAGTAGCTCATTGGACTCACAGCACCCCCAGAGGTTCCATTCACTGTTATCTGGCTCTGGGAAAAGTGCAAAAGCATCCCGTTAAAGTGTATACCAAAAACCCATTGCCGGAGAGTCGATTCCAACTCATAGTGACCCTATAGGACAGAGTAGAACAGACCCAGAGCGTTTCCAAGGCTGTAAATCTTTACAAAAGCAGACTGCCACGTCTTTCTCCAGAGGGTAAAGTACACGGCCCCCTGTAAACACCGTTCCTTTAGACTCTCATTCGCATGATAGCAATCAGCTGTCAGGTTTTTATTTACTTTGAAAATTGATGTCTAGAGGGACAAGGTCCATTATCCCAGTGTCTTCTCTGTATTTCTCCCTGCAAAGAATTCTTTTACATGTCAGGGGGCACGGAGGTGAGCAAGTAGCTGATCAGCGGGCATGGTACTCTGGCAACAGAGATGCTGAATGGTATTAGCAGGAGTCAGTATAAAATGAATGTGGAGGGTGAATTTGCTCCTACAATTATGACCTAAGTAGCCAGAACACCGTCATGCTGCTCTGCATCCTGGATGCCAAATGAACGTTCTTTGATGTGAGGAAAGGGGTTGGTGACTAACATAAGTGATGCAATGTTTGGATTTACATAGCCTGAAGCAACCTATTCTAGAAGAGGCAAATGCCTGGCAAAGCATCGGAAAGACATGTCAAACTGCTGGCTTCTTCCTACTCCAATCTCTTTTTGCAGTGCGTGGACCTGTGTGGTTTCTTAAAAATGTACTGTTTTGGCTGTTTTATAGCTGAGTGTATTATATCCTCAATGGTATTTCAAGCTTCTCGTTGGAGATGGTCATGCATATGCTTCTCTTAAGTTTTTTATTAGCTGCAACCTATTGCTAACAACAGCAGATATTCAGTAGACACAGATTTTAATTAAATTGAATCAGCTTAGTTCACAGAGGTTGAGCTCACCTCTGTTAAGCACCCCTATCTGTCCGCAGTACTCACTGGGCATTGTGGGGATTACATAACGCATGCAAGTGATACAAAACATTAGTAAAAGCACTCGGTTAAAACAACCTTACGGCTACATATACACAAACACAAATAGGCACATAAAGAACCATAGTTTGAGAACCTTCTCTAATTATCCTAAAGCACAATAAACTATTATCCATGCCTGAAACATTGGTGGACAATCAACTGCATATATACATGATGTCACTGTAAGGCAAATAAGTTTTCAAATGATCCGGAATAAATCTAATTGCATTACCTTCTCGCCACACCACATGTCCTAAAATCAGTCAGCATTTTAGTACACTGTGTTTACTAAGCACTTCTTTAAGCTGTTACAGAAATTGCTCTCACGTCATAACTGGCCATATCTTGAGGAGGTTCCACCTGGTGAACAGGGGACATTCAAATAGTGTGAGGTGAAGGCCTGCACAGATGCTTCAGGGCCCTAGGCACCTTTGATGAACAATTGGAGAGTATTTTTGCCTTTTGCCCCAGTCGAGTGTGGCTGATCATTGTAAATATATTTTAATACTACCGTTATGACATATTATAATTAACGCTAAAAGCAGGAGACACCCTCTTATTAAAAACCATCATGTTACTGTGTTACTAACTTAAGGACTCCCTGGGTGGTGTAAATGGTTAATGTACTCAGCTGCTAACTGAAAGGTTGGAAGTTCAAGTTCACCCAGAGGCACCTTGGAAGAAAGGTCTGGCAATCTACTTCAGAAACTCAGCCATCGAAAACCCTATGAAGTACAGTTGAACACACAGAGGGTCACCATGAGCTGGAGTCGATTTGACAGTAACTAGTTTTAAACTTGAGGAACCCGGGTGGTGCAGCGGTTAAGCACTCAGCCGCTAACCGAAAGGTTGGCTGTTCAAACCCATCAACTGCTCTGTGGAAGAAAGATGTGGTAGTCTGCTTTCATAAAGATTACAGCCTCGGCAACTCTGTGGGGGCAGTTCTACTCTGTCCTGTAGCGTCACTATGAGTTGGAATTGACTCGACAGCAATGGGTTTCGCTTTTTTGGTTGGTTGAAGAAAGTTGCTCTGATTCTTATTTGATGATTTCAGTAATATTGATTATGTGTTTACAAAATATAAACACGGAAAGTAGACTTACTCTTTGTGTTACACCGATCAGGATTTTACTAATAAAACAATAACAGAATTTCAGGAAGTACTTTGTAATGAACTATTAGGAAAAAACATCCCTCGCCGAAAATCTAAGTGCAATTTAAACTGCTACTTGAAATTAATTCCTGGTACAGTTAGCTCAGATTGTGTGTACGAGACTATAGGTATCAACCTCAGCTCCCAACAGACTTAAGAACAGAAAGTTAAATAGGTTAGTACATAAATTCACATACTACCACTACCTTTGTCTTTTTGGTTCAAGGCCCTGACAGCATTCCTTAAAGTTTTAAAAGCTAAGAGCCTTTTACAGAACAGAGCGTGGGTGAGGCCCGTGTCTGTTGGGCCCTAGTGGCTGTCACCTGGGACGGGGGAGGACTCTTGATGGTGGTGTTGTTGAATGCCATCAAATTGATTTCAACTCACAACGACCCCATGTGACAGAGCAGGACTGCCCCATTGGGTTTTCTAGGCTGTGATTTTTATGGGAGCAGACTGCCTGGTCTTTCTCCCTTGGAGTTGCTGGGTAGATTCGAACTGCTAACCTTTTGGTTAGCAGTCGAGTGCTTAACTGTTGTGGCACCAGGGCTCGTCTTGATGGTGTTAGCCCTGAAAATGAGGCTCCGTCTGTACTGTCACTGAATGGAACACTGTCACTGCAAACATTTATTGGATGAATACTAAACCCAGTCCAATTAATTGGACCTTTTCTTATCTGTAATTGCGGCATCTTGGAAAACATATGCATATAATATTTCTCCATATATGAAATTGACAAATTTACGTCCTTGATACAGAGTACCATGTAGCACAAACAAAATTTTGGCTATGACAGTGCTTATCTGGAAGTTCATTATGATACCATTTTTAGAAATACATTTCCAATTTTTACCTAAAGTTATGTGCTTTTCATATTAAAGCCATGACCAATACATTATATGCAATTGAAAATCTGCTCCACAAAATTCTGAGGCATTTTAGCCATTCAGAAATCATTTATTGGGGTCTGTGCTTGTCATGTAGCCATATTTAAATGTTATAATATGTATGGAAAACCATTTATATATTACATATAAATGGAAATAAAGATAGATAAAATAATAAATGTATTTATAAGTTATTACACTGGAATGGCTCAGGAGAAATAATTTCCAAAAAAATCACAGGGCTGAATTTCTATAAGATCGATTTAGACTGTTTGCATCATTCATTCCTGGAAGACAGATGGGTTCAAAAGATGTGGCTGTTAGTGAAAGGACAGAAAGAAGAATTAGCTCAGGCATTCAGTAACGATCTCTGTGAGGAACAAGGATATATAAACTATTCACACAGGGCACATTAAAATGAACTTCTGAGGTAAACTGTTATCTACCAGTTGTTAATATGGGTTAAAATTTTAAACACTGTTGAGACTTTCTCTATAATCTAATCATAACAATATTATGATGTAAACTTGTCTTAAGTTTCTGAGATAACTTCTCATTAAGGTAAATCACTGTAAAACACATTCGCTACAGCAATACAGTGTGAACATAAATAATTCTGAAATGAATGAAGAGAATATAATTGTATTTTTCAACACTAAGTAGGCTTACGGAGTCCTGGTGGTACAGTGGTTAAGTTTCGGCTGCTAACCAAAGATTAGCAGTTCGAATCCACCAGAACCCCTGTAGGCAGTTCTGCTTGTCCTACAGGGTCGCTCTGAGTCAGCATGGACTCAACGGCAATGCGTAGATAGGCTTATAAGGATGACTGTGATGGATTTTCCTGGTAGACGGTATAGAGTCAGTTTACCAGTCAACAACTATTCGAAATCAAATGCTTAGCTGCAAAATGAGATGGCAGGTAAGAAATCAGTTGTTTCGGGCTGTGGAGACCCGTGTAAAAACTCGAGACAAAGGAAGGAAAGGTGATCACTGGAGTGCAGCAGGGGTAGCTATGGTGGTGCCACCTGTCACAGCAGATCTCTGACCCAAGCTCGTCTAGGATGGCCATGGCGGATCGCCCTCAGAGCGGGAAGTCTGTGTGAGAGGCCCGGGACGTTGCTGTGGACAAGGCTTTCCCGGGCCAGGAAAGGCTGCCTACAGAAACAGTGTGAACGGCCCCGGGTCATCAGGCGGTGGCAGGATGTGTGATGCTGGGCTGGAGTCACTGTCTGGTGAAAAAGTGGTCGGATGAAAGGTACTACAGGAGGAGGGCACCGAGAAGACGCTTCGGGTGTGATTTGACTGTGTCTGTGAAGCATTTACCTCCGGCGCATGGGCAGTTAAGTTCTGATTTCCAAGCTGAGTTTGAGGAAAAAATAAGAAGAAGAGAGATGAACTACCCCATCAATAAAAACATCTCTTTTTGCAGTGCAGCAGAGAAGGCAAAGCATCAGTTTTACTTGGAAGCAGTTTAGGAAGTACATTCAGATGGATTAGGTGTCAACCACACACGACAGGAAAGACAGAAAAACATGAAGAAAATGAATCCAGTAGGTGTTTTTTTTGGGAAACGAGGCCAGTTTTCACACTGCATTGCAATGTCATTTTGGGTGAGGGCTTGAGAGAGTTGGCATAACGGGAGTCCAAATAATTTTTTTCTTCCAAGTTTTAGGTTTTGTACTTGCGGCAGTGACATGATATTAGATGTCCGTTGGTCAGCAGAATTAGTTCTCTTTTCCCTGGAAAAATTCTCGTAGCATAATTCTCACTACTGACCATCCCCCTTCCAAAATGTTCCCAAAATATAAATCCATTTGGTCTCCTTTTTCCCCCCTAGCTTCTGGATCTGAAGCTTGATCAACCTAAAAACAACTACGTGGGAATGGTATTTTGGTTCCTAATCATTCATTGGATCTGTTCTTTGATTTCACTATAAAATATTAAAATAATTGAACTTTAGATAACCTAGCGGTGCAAATAGGGG